ATTAGCAAATTATACACTGCTACTACAGGGTAAACAATTGTATAGCATCATCACCACCCAAAGGTCTTGAAAGTATTTATATGCACAGAGTACCGAACTAAGTTGGTTAACAAATATGTCGTTTATCTTTTAATGTTTTCATTTAAAAAATAAACTATATATGAACAATAAACCACATACTGAATTAATTATGTAATTTATTCAAATAGTATAACAGTTTAGAATGGAATCAAATGGTGAGACGGAATTTAGTGGAATCTAAGTATAAATAACAGCCCAAAGTTTCCGGGGGTATTCATTAGATATATGAATATCAGTGACTTGTTTTAAAATTTTTCTTCTTATCATTTTTAAACTTAATTTAAAAAAGAACTTGGGAATAAGGGGGAGGTGAGTCAGGTAACTGGTAAACAAACAAAGGAAAAAGGGCAAGGTAAGAAGACCAAGAGCTCTTTTGAGAAAAGCTATAGCTATAGTCAAAGTTAAGGATGGAGAATTGAATAAAACAATGGGCTTTTGACATTTTTTAAAGTAAAGGTCATGACCAATTTACCTTAACATGTCAGAAATAGTAGCTGAGTCCTGGCTGGTGTGGCTCAGTTAGCTGGAGCAACCTCCCATACACTGAAAGGTCATGTGTTTGATTCCTGGTCAGGGCACGTACCTAGGTTGTGGGTTCATTTCCCAGCTTGGGCACATACGGGAAGCAACCAATTGATGTTTCCCTCTCACACTGACGTTTCTCTCTCTCTCTCCCTCTCTCCCTCCCTTCCTATAAGATCAACAAACATAATAAAACATAATAAAAATTCATTTTGCATAATGAGTTCTATTATAATTTTTTTAAAATATAAGTTCTTAAGATTATTTTTTCTTTAACATTGTTTGGAATATTTTTGCTTCTTTGATTTTCCATATACATTTTAGAAATAGCTTTTCAGTTTACACACACACACACATGCATATGAACACAAAATATGCTAAAAATCTGTGTGAGATTTCATGAACATCTTCACAGTATTGAGTGTTCCGATCCATTAATAAGATATGTCCTCTCTCATTGACTTCCATTTTCTTTAATTTGTCTCAATAATATTTTGTAGTCTGCTGTATAGACTGACTAGATTTAGTCCTTGGATTTCATGTTTTAAAATTGTATTGTAAGAGTATCTGTTAAATTTTTATTTCTGATTGCTGTTAGTTTCTAGTGATGTTTCAGTTATCTAGCTATCTATACTTTGGCCCATACTGCAGAGTTTAATAATTGTATAATCTTTTTCACATTTAAATATATCATAGAGCTGTTTATCACCATGGACAATCATTTTAAAATTATTTGGTGAGTTTCACTGGATAATTATTTTAAGTTACAAAATAAAATTGCATTAGGAGTTTAGTTATAATCACAATAAAAATTATAATTTATTTGATTAAAACTTGACTTTTTCTCATTATTGGGTCATACTCAAGAGTTTGATATGCCCCTATATTTACTCATTTTAAAAATATATTTCTCCAAGACTTACTATAAAGCTGTAGCAATCAAGACAATGAGATATTGCTGAAAGGATAAACAGACAGAACAATGCAAAGGAATAGAGACCCCAGAAAAAGATCCACGGAAATATAATAAAATGATATTTGACTAAGAGGCAAACAGCAATACAGTGGAGCAAAGATCATCTTTTCAACAAATGGTGCTGGAAACGACTGGATATCCATATGCAAAAAAAGTGTAGCTAGATGCAGACCTTACACCTTTTATAAAAATAACTCAAAATGGATCATAGACCTAAACGTAAAATGCAAAATAAAACACAAAACTGTAAAACTCCTAGAGTATAACATAGGAGAAAACCTAGATGACCTTGGGAATGGTAATGACTTCTTAGACAGTACTAAAGGCACAATCTATGAAAGAAATAATTGACGAGGACTTCATTAAAAGTAAAAACTTCTGCTCTGTGAAAGCCAATGTCAAGATAATAAAAAGACAAGCCACACTGGGAAAAATATTTGCAAAAGACATATCTGATAAAGAGCTGTTATCTAAAATGCACAAAGAACTTGAAAACTCAACAGTAAGAAAACAACCAACCTGATTAAAAAATGATCAAAGACTTTAACAGACACCTCACCAAAGAAGATACACAACAGCAAATATGCACATGAAGAGATGCTCCACATCATATGTCATTAGGGAAAGGTAAATTAAAACAACAAAATATCATGACATGCCTACTAAATGACCAAAATCCTGAACATACACAACACCAACCACTGACAAAAATGTGGATCAACAGGTTGCTCTCATTCACTGCTGGTGAGAATGCAAAACGGTACAGCCACTTGGGAATAGAGTTTGGTGATTTCCTACCCTCACCCCCACTGAGCAGAGCAAAAAAGAAAAAAGAGAGAGAGAAAAAACTCATGGACAAAAACAACAGTGTGGTGACTGCTGAGGAGGTGGGGAGAAGAGGCGTGGGGGGGGTGGAAGAGAGTGTCGGGGAGACACACGGTGATGGATGAAGGCCTGACTTACGGTAGTGAACAAACAATACAATGTACAGATAATGTGTTGTAGAATTGTGCACCTGAAACCTATATAATTTTGTTAACCGGTGTCACCCTTATAAATTCAATAAAACGGGGAAAAACCCCAAAAATATACGAACTATTTGCAATATATGAACTGCTGATTATGTCGTCAAATATTGGCCCTGTCCTTTATTTTATCTTCTCTTCCTTCAGAACATCCCTTACATATGTGGTATACCTGACTCTTGCCTACACATCTCTTAATCTCTCTTATTTTACTTATTTTAATTCTCTGTTCATCAGTATGTAATCTGCTGTTAAAATCATTTAATTTTTAATTTCAAGGAAAAATTAAGTGACCAAGTGACATCTTAAGGTGTTATCTGGACAAGCACAATGCATACAATGGAAATCTTTCCCTAGAACCAGGACTACCTTTCCACTGCCTACAGCATGTGACAAATTGCATCAGTGCTCCTAATTATTCACTTTCTTTTTAAGAGGATTAGAATTCCCACCCTGTTAACATCAGCCATGGCCATATGACCTGCTTCGTTCAACGAAGTGTGAGTAGGAGTAATGCTATCATCTTCCTATGGAAACTGTAAGGGCCATCGAGTGGTCTTACCAATGCAATGCACATGAGCTATCAGAGCAACATGCCCTAGGAGGATCCGATCCTTTACTGGCAATCTGAGAAGCAGAAATGGCATGAAGCACAAACACAGCAAACACAGTTAAGTTGCAATGCAAGTGAGAAATAAACTCGTATATTTGCATATCACTAAGATTTGGAGGTTGCTCATTACTGCAGGATAATCTAATAAATGCTCTCTCACATCCTCTTGCTTTCCTCCAGAGATCCTTCTCCTTAGCTTAGCCACTCTTCAAATATACAGGGGTAGGCAAAAGTGGGTTTACAGCTGCGAGCGCACAAAACACAGAGTCTATCCTTGTGTTATTATTTATTTATTACTGTCTTTTTCTATTGGAACTGTAAACATATATTTGCCCACCTCTGCCTTTTTCTCCTCTGGTTCTCTTTTTTAATAAAATAAAATGTAGCAATATTAACAACTATTATTTTTGTTTACTCTTCAGAAAACAATGTTCCTTTTGCTTTCTTTAAAAACATATGTTTAACATACAGATAAATTTTACAATTGGTTTCATTCTATCATTTCCAAAAATAAAATAACCACTAAGAAATTTTAACAACCTTCCTACACAATCATCAAGTATCATCATTACTTCTCTCTGCTTTCCTCCTTCCTTCCCTTCAATAATTAATTATAGAGAGAATAGTATGTGTCAGTCACGATGTTTGATGATGAGGAGTCAATGTTGAAGAAAGTGTAGTCATAACCTACGTTTGCCCTCATGGATCTTCCTTTTTTTTTGAGGGAGACGCCCATCAGACAAATATTCACACACAAAAACCTGCATATATAACAAGAGATATGAACAAGAAAAGAATGTGTACCATATACATACAGAATAGAGGAATTGGATTTAACTGAATAGTCGGTGAACGCTTCCCAGAACTGACTCCTAAGCCGTCATCTTAAGGATAAATAGTAATGAGTTAGGCATAAGGAAAAGGAAAATCATTATAGGAAATAGAAATAGCATAAAAATGCCATATGGGCTGGAAAGCAAATATGGCAAGTAGAAGAAATTCAAGTAAAAGCCAGTGTATTTGAATCAAATAAATAAGGGTCAACCCAGGCGTGATATGAGACTGCAGAGGCAGATACGCCTGCTACTAAGAGACCACACGTGGTATATTAAGGAGGAGCTAGTATCCCTTTTCCTCAGCTAAAATTAATGCAGGTATGAAGGAGAAAACGATCATACTTATAATTAAAAATAAAGAAAAAAGAACATACCTCCCACAATGCAGATAACAGATTAGAAAGGAAGCATAGAGATTATATGTAAACCAGTTTTGAAAGTCACTGTAAATTCATGTAGTACACAATGACAGCTTGCACCTGGGTGCTGGTGGTGTAGTGAAAAGCAAATAGATTTTAAAAAAATACAGGTTAAATATGAGCACTGCAATAGAAAGAGGATTCCAAAAACTAGTAAACTCGTAGGTTTCTGAGCTAAGAAAAGTAATTTAGTAGTTACAAGGAAGAATTTAGGGTTGGCTGAAGGAGATCATGAACTTCATTAGACATAATTTAATTTTGAAGTAACTTTGAGTACAAGAGGATACATCAAAAGGAGGTGGTATGACTGAGTGTAAAACTCCCTATAAGATCATTTTTTCACTATTTTGATTTCTCTAAAGGAATTCAGAGTGATTCAAGAGCAATATTTGAAACATAAACAAAATTTAACGTCATGATAAACACAAGCACTACTATACAACTTCAGGAACACAAAATGAAGAGGTTTATCATATTTAACACATTAGGTATGCTATAAAAGAATAAAAGTTATGTTTGCAGAATTACCTTTCATTGATTGCACCTGCTATGGTTTCAATATCCATCTCAATTTTTCTATTTTCTTCCATCAATTGATTATATACCATTAAAAGATCTGTAAAATCTCTTGTGACATTAGAAAGCTCAATCTCCCATGATTTTTTCTGTAAGAAAAGAATAAAAGAATCATATATATATATTTATGTATCTCAAAAGTAAATAATATATAAAATAATAAAATTAGTTGCATAAGTTAATATTTGGGAACAGAGAATGAAAATCTAGTGGGAACTAGAGAAAGGTCAACTTACAGTAGAATTAAAATTATTAAATATTTCCAAATATTCATTTTCATAACATTTTTTCTTCCAGGATAGTTGATCATAAACTCTTTTCAATTCATCTAGCTAAGAAAAAATATACACAAAAATAAATGAATGTGGAGACCTACATTACCTTGTAAAATAAGAAATAGATTCTATTTCATTTTATGCAGCCACCGTAAGTTAATAAATATTGACTAAAATAGCATAAAATAATACCATAAGCTGTTTTTGTTTATGAAATTAATATAAGATTCAGAATAGAATACAGCAAATCAAGTCTTACAGGGCTCAAATGAATAACTGATCATGATAAAGCAGAATGTATTTAGTTAAGCTGTAAGAATAAAGATTAATAAATTTAAGCCACAATTCATCACATCAACAAATTAAAGGAGGAAATAACATGAATATAACCAGCACTTCACCAAATAGCCATTTGATACATTCACTACCTTGTTTCCATATTTTTTAAACTAGAACAAGGAAAAACTACCCAAATATAAGGAACCGAGAGCAAATATCAAAATAAATCATAAAATGCTAAATGCATGCCCCCTGAACCCAAGAATGGGAATGGATTCTCTTTTATCAACATTATTATTAATCATGTTTTGTGAAAGTTCAGCTATAGGCAATTGGATAATGAAACCAAATGTTACTATTATAATATTGAACATGAAGAGGTAACATGTCTTCAAATTTAGTTTGTATGATTGAATTTCTAGGAAGACAGAGATCCTATCGAAAGCTACAGTAAATGATTTTGGTAAAATAGGAGATGTATAAATATATGAAAAATAATAGCTCTTATCTAGAAGAGGAATAATCTATTAAAAACATAGTGACAATACTTACTAAAAATTTTGTCAAAAAATATAAAATATTTTGGAATAAATCCAATACAAAAGGAAGGACTTACGGAAAGCAAACACAACTTCCTATTTAAAAGTTGAAATCAAGACCCACATAAAAAGTATGATATGTCCTGCAAAGATTTAATAAAATACAATGTCAGTTATCCCAAAATTAATGTAAATCATAATAGAAGTATTCTCTTTCAAACTGCATGAAACAAAATGAATATGGATGACTAGCCAAGAGGTATGTGAAAAATAAGAATAATGCTGGAAATCTGCTGCCAGGTATTAAAAACATCGTATAATACCATTAGAATAAAGCACTATTTATTTTTGGTACTGTGATAAAGATCAGAGGGAAAAAACTACAGCCCAGAAATAGGCCTGCATTAATATTTTTTAAAGTGGTATTTAAATCCAGTGAGAGAGAAATCATTTACTTTAAATAATGGGTCTGGGATGATGTATAATACCTTTTTAAAATAACAAAGTGGTCTCTCTAGTTCACATGTAACTCACATTAGAACAAAAATAAATTTCAGATAAAATCTAAATGCAAACACAAAACAATGCAAAATATTAAAATAATCAATATGAGTGTGTTTGTAAAATCTTGGGCTAAAAGAGAATGTCACCTTGTCAAGTAAACCAAAAAGATCTGTTGACATGTTTTACAATAAACAAGACTAAAGGAAAAAATAAGACTGTTGAAAAATGTGGGGGGAAAAAAGCCCAACATTCCAAGATATAATTATGAGCATCGATGAAAATGGCAGGGTAAGAACATCTGAAAATTCTCCCCCATAAAGGTAATGAGAAAATTGGCCCCCAAAATGTCAAAATTAACTTTCTCAGAACTATGGAGATTAACTAAAGGCTTTTAGCAATCTGAGGTGCACTTATTAAAGAAAAACAGCCTAGCCCTAGACAGTCTGACTCAGTGGTTAGAGTGTCGGCCCGAGGACTGAAGGGTCCCAGGTTCAATTCCCACCAAGGGCTGGATCCCCGGCCCCCACTCAGGATGTGTAGGGGAGGGAACCAAGTGATGTCTCTCTCACATCAATGTTTCTCTCTCTATCTCTCTGTCTCTCTCCCTCCCACTCTCTCTGAAAAGCAATGAAAAAAATATATCCTTGGGTGGGGATTAAAAAACAAAAAAAGAAAAACAGCCTAATCTCAGTAAGAAGTGTGAGCTTTGTGTTGTTCTAATTCCTCCCTCCTTTGGCCCTTGGTGGCCTTGACGAGTCACGTACCACATTTGAGGAGCACACCAGCATTCAGACAGCCACCGGAGGCAGAACAGAACCGGAGTGCTTTCAAAGCTTCATTCTAGGAGATTTATCATTATTTGACCTGTCTGGTGGTTTTTTTGAAGACTCCCAAGGATGTCTGTATCTGACTTCATATAAAGCTCACCAAGTACAAAAAAGTCTCTCCAAAAAAGTTTTTCTCAAGGCATGATTATCACACGCACACAAACGCACACTCACACACACACACAAATAGACTTCAACAACACTAAACAACGAGATCTAACAGACATCTACATAATACTCCATCTAATAAGAGCAGAATAATATTTTCCCCAAGTACACACAGAACATTCTTTAGGAAAGAACTTATTTTAGACTATAAAACAAGTCATATTAAGTTTTAAAAGGCTAAAATCATGCAAAGTATATTCTCTATCCTCACAGGAGTCAGAAATCAATGACAGAAACCCACTATCATACTAAGATATTTTAAATACAGCTCTTATAGCAATTGACATATCAGTCAGAATATAAATCAGAAATATAAGAGATTTAAATAATACAATTATCACAATTCACAAAATGAACTTATTTAGAATTGCATACCACTATCACAGAAAACATTTTCCCAAATAAACTATTCATGCAAATTACCCTTATAGTAGGACACAAATTACGCCTTAACAAATTATAAATAATATATACCATATAGATTACCTTTATGAACAAATAATAATTACATTAAAATCAATTTAAAGATAACTTTAAAGTTCAGTGGAAATGCAAGTGTTAATTTGTCTAAGACAGATCACAGGCTGACTTTGCAGAGAGTTTTCCTTCTACAAAGTTCCAAGGAAACTGGTTAAGGCCCCATTTAGAAAAACTACCCAAATAAATGGAGAGATAGATCATGTTTAGGGATGTTCATTGTAAAGATGTAATTTCTCCATCAAATAATCCATAAATAATGTGATTCCACTCATAACTCCAATACAATTTTTGAAGGAAATAAACAAAATTAACACTGAAATTTATATGGAAAGGCAAAGGTCAAGAATAGCCTAAATCTCATTAAAAAAATATAAGACTGGGGGAGTCACCATAATAGATCATCAAAATTCATTATAGACATTGTAGACATGAAGTATTAAAATAAAGTTGGCTAGGTAGAATAAATGAATAAAAAGAGAATGGGAAAAGGGAACCACATAAATATGGAAGCCTCATATGTGACAGGGATGGCACTGAATATTAACATATAATATTCAGATGATGTATTATAGATTTGTATAACTGAAACCTATATAATTTTATTAACCAATGTGACCCCAATAAATTCAATTTTAAAAAAGGAAAAAAAACAGATAAGAACTGCCCTTCACAGCATATCCATAAATGAACTTCGTATTGATTATGTTCACATCTGACAAGAAAAATATGCATTCCTAAAATTCTAGAGATAGTTAATTACTTTCAAACTTGTAAATAAAAGATAGAATGACAAAAAACTCAATTCTGATTATTTTAAACATAGTTTCATCTAAGAGCTCTCTGTAAATATGAAAAGCAAAATTTCAAATCATTTGCAAAAAAATACCACAGATTAAGTTTTTGATTTTGAGGTGGAAAAAATTTCTTATGCAAGTTCAGGAAAGCACAAAGTTCCAAGAAAATTATTTATAACTTTTGATAAGTTAAAATTGAAATTTCATTCACCAGGAGTTATAAAGAAATGAAAAAAGACTGGTTAAAAATATTTTAACATATGTAACTTTAACATAATAGTTTAAAGTTACATTTTGAAATATGTAACTTTAAACTATTTAATATCCATAATATACAACCAATTCTTACAAATCAATAAAAAATAAGCAATAACTCAACATATAGGGGAAAAATCATGAACAGGTTTTACACAGAAAAGGAAGTACAAATGACTTTCCAAGACCCATTAAAATATGCTCAGCTCATTAATAATTATAGATTAATTTTTTTAAATGAGATACAATTAAAGAGAGATAATACAAAGTGGCAAAAAAGATACGTAGTTTTAACTCTAGGTAGGATTGCAAATCGGGACCAGAATGCGTATATTACTGCCTTTTTACGATACTATTATTTCTTTTTACCATTTTATAATTTCCTTTTAGCATTATTTCCTTTTACTATAGTGAATGAGATGTGATAGAAGAGGAAGACAGGAAAGATGAGTCACGAGGGAAGGTCAGGGTAATACCAAGCATGACAGGAATCAACCCACCATCCCAGGTTTAAAGATGAAGGGAACCGCCAGCGGGGGGGGGGATGCAGGCAGTCTTTCAAAACACAGAATGATCCTGGGCTGAACATCACTAAGGAAACAAGGACCTCAGTTCTAAAACCACAGGGACTGTATCTTGCCAAAACTGAAGGAGTCTGAAAACAGATTAATCCTGAAGCCTCCAGAAAGAAATGCAGGGCTGCTGACACCTTGATTTCAGTCTTGGAAGCCCTAGAGGAGAGGAACCAGCTAAGCCATGACCCAGAGAAACTTCTCGATAATAAATGGGTGCTGTTTTAAGCTGCTAAAATTCTGGTAATTTGTTATGCAGCTATAGAAAACCAATATACACAGAAAATTGGCCAACTGGTATTTAATTTTTGACAGAGAATAAGTTTTAATAGCTGTAGTTCAAAACTAAAATCAGTATATTTTATTTTTAAACATGAAAACTCACCAATTTTGTTAAAGAAAATAATTCATCTGTTGTTGTCTGTGTTTCCTTCAATGCTGCAGTCTCAGCCACTTCAGTCTCGGTAATACTAATGTTAATGTTTTGAATTAATGTAGTGTAGTGATGGTATAGAGTGGTAAATTGATCTGCCTGTTTCCTACGAGAAAAAAGCAACAACATAGTTGATTTTATCTATTTTGAAAGGAAAATTATATTAAAATTAGGGATATTTAAATTAGCTTCTGACTTAATGTAAATCAATGTAATTCATGTATTCTTGAAAGTTCTCCCATCCCAAAGCAACTCCTGAAAAGTACCACTTAGATATCAAAAGTAAACAGTGAGAAAAATATTCACCAGTAGTATTTATGTTTCCAATATAAAGGAATTGAGAGAAATAGATGATGTAGTGTAGAACTGTATACCTGAAATTTATATAATTTTATTAACCAATGTCACCCCAATAAACTCTATAAAAAATAAAATAAATAATTTGTAAATTATTTTAAAGAAATAACTTTTTTATTTGATTTCAGGTGAAAGAACTTTGATCCGGAGGTTGGACAGTACAGGGATGGAAAATCAAGAAGAAAAAGAGAAAAGAAAAAAAAAATGACTCTGGGGGTGCAGGGTAGAGGTGTGAAAGGGCGTAGGGGGGATAAATGATGATGGGAAAAAATTAAAATAAAATAAAGAATAAAAAGTTTAAAGGAAAAAAAAGAGCAGAAGATATAAAAGTGAAAAGACCACACAGTCTTAGAGGTAAAAGGGAGGAAACTGCCCTTTAAGATAACAAGAGGCTTATTTTAAAGAGGCAATTGCCAAGGAGTTCTTTGTTCCTATGTGACCTTCCACAACAAAGACCAGGTCCAATCTGTGAACCACATGATTGATACTTTATCTTATGTGGTAGGTAGAAAACACACTCTAAATATAAAATCTCCTTAGACAATGTTGCTATAATTTAATATACAGAAAAGGTATAGTGAGAAAGTGACAAAGTTAGCATTTTCATAAAATATCAGTAAGTAATGCAGATAACCCCAATGCTTTTTAGAATTATAAATAAACTGCAAGATTTATTTGAAACCCATACAAGAGGTCAAACAGTAAATCACTTACGGTAATAAAATCGTACAAACCAATATGGAACAGAAAAAAAAATAGACAAGTGAGCAAAGAAGATAAACAAGAGTTTATGCCAGTGGCCAATAGGTATGTGGTATGTTACTGAATTCGCCCTGATTTTAGGAGTAGAATCAAATGAAACTGAAAGATACAACCTCATTACAGAAATGAAAATTAAAACAACAAATAAACAGGCTAGAATAGTACTCTTGTGTGGAAAGTAAAGGTGTCCCTACTAGAACTCTAGAAGCCAGGTAGGTATGAAAGTTGGGGAGCTTCAGTGTTCAAAATATATACATTTGGTTAAATTTCCTTCTTTTAAAATTAAATTTTCTTCTCTCAATGGTATTTATTTCCCACAGTCCAGATAATAAACTATAGACTTTGAGTAAGTAGATAATTGCACAGGGTCACGAAATGCAGGAGGCTAAATATTGTTTTAATCGTCTCATCACTATTTCCTGAAGAAGTTGGTGTCACCAGTTCCTCAGCCTTTCTAGGACTTTCCGTGTAAAAGTATGCGCTACCAGGTTTTCCCCCACTGGTAGTTTAGATTTAATCATTCTCATATCTGCTCAAACAGAATAAATTTAGAAGACTAAAATAGGAGGAAACACTCTACCTCTTGTTAAGGGTTTCTATAAAGGACAATCAAGACACCAAAGAATGTACAGGGTGAGGGAAAAGTGGGTTTACAGTTGTTTGTATAGAAAATAATACAACAATTAATAAACAGTAATACGAGAATAAGCTGTGTTTCAATTCATATGGAATTCAAGAACAGACAAAGCTAACTATGGTGGTAGAAATCAAAATGGAAATTACCTCTTTGCAGGGGTGGTGGTATGGACTGGGAAACAGAACAAGAAAAGCTTCTAGTATGTTGTAAAGTTCCTTCATCTTAACTTGGGCCATAGTTACATGAGTGTATATATATTTTAAAAACCATCAATCGGTACACTTGACAACACACATAATCATGTTTCTGTATATGTGCTAATTCTCAACATATTAAAAAATAGTAACAATTAAACATATCTTTCAAATGTTATTTAATAAATCATTTATGACTCCTCTAATGTTTATAATAGAACTTTTGGAAAATATATTTAAATTAGAAGAAAATCAACAGAGAAAAAAGTTATGTGACAATAAATAACGAATATAGGAATTTATAAAATGTGTCTTTGTATTTATTTAAATATTAGTTATAGAAACCACCAACTAATTTTTATATTCAAAACCGAGAAGGAAAAAGTTTTGAAATGTTACAAGATGGAGACTGTTGTATGGGCTAAAATCTGTTTTGTGCCCGATAGAATGAAATGCTGAATATGTGTATATACAGAAATAGAAATGTATATATACAGAAATAGAGAGATAAATGGTTAAAATAAAAATAGAGATAAAAAAACAATTGATAGATTCAAGATATGCAAAATAAAAAAGACTATGAAAAACCATGGGCATTATGGTCTCAGTTCTTCACCTGTTCCTGTATCCACTGCCTTTGCAATGTAACTTAATTGTTTAAAACAACAATATTATCATGGGTTAAAAAATAATATTCTGCAACAACAAATATTTAAGAGCAATGTGATAACTACGGTAACATTTTCCTTAAATTCCTTTCTTATCCAGTAGGTTAACAGTATCTTGAAGAGTCTGACAAGGTACATTTGCATGTGGTAATTAATAGTATTTCCTACTAAGAGAACAGAAACACAAACATAATCACCAAGCTAGAAGAAAATAATAATGATAACTAATGTGAAAGAAGACAATAAAAAAAGAAAAGAAAGAAAAGGGGCAAATATAATAGTTTATGATATGGTTTAAATCCAAATTTATTAGTACTTTGTGAATGTACTTTAAAAAATGCTTTAAAATAATTTAAAAAATCTGCTGACATGATGTTCACGAGAGATATATAAAACATGAAGACTCAAAAATATTGAAATTTAAAGAACTAAAAATATTTCCCAAATATCAAAAGAAAGCTAGTAACAGCTATATTAATAATATCTTTACTGAATTTAAGGCAAAAAGTATTCCAAGAGTCAAAGGTCAGTTCATAATGGAAATTAAAATAGATTCTGTGTTTATAATTAACATAAGGCCATATGATTTGTTTTTAATAATATCCCATGCTGAAAAAACTTTTTTTAAGTAATCACTTTTGCACATAGATAGCAGGGATATATATATTGCTCTATCATATCCATAGATAATTTGGCAAGATGTATGAAGAGCTTTTAAATGATACCTAAAAAGAGTGCTTTAGGAATTTATACACACCCAGATTTATATATGTAAAGATACATATTTTAATTGATACATAAATTTGATAATACGGGTAATTTAGATTCCTTCCTTTCTCTTTACATAAATTTTTATACAGGAATATAAATTACATTTGAATTAATATTTTACATCTAAATTTATGATATAAGTAGGATTTGTGAAAAATTCTTACTTGTAGGCTTCTATGCTTTTTTCATCGTTTTGAATATCTTTTTCCATTTCTTCTCTCATTTGTACAGCTTTCAATTTCACTTTTCCATATTTTTCTATAGCGTCTTTAAGTTCTTCATGAACTCGTCTGTATACTTCCAATACCTAGAAATAAAAAATATTTTGCTAATATATGCACTTAATGACTAATTAAAAGAATCAGGCAAGAGATCAAAATAGGACTTAAACTTAGAGTAGTTTTTATTTAAATAAAAAGTTCTTTATATCAATTTTCTTCCCATATTTATTTAGTCTATTGTTTAGCACAGTAGTGTTTTCAGATTCCTTTACCCTGAAAGGCATCAATACTAGGGCTGTACAAAAGTTACTTAACATGACCTAAATAAAATCATTATCTTTCCTCTCACAAAAAACTGCTACTTTTTACTGTTTTTACTGTTCAAACACTTTATTGTAGAAAACTCAGAAAACACAGATAAAAAATAAATAACCTGTAATATTATCATTCAGGAATAACCATTATCTTATTGTGTCAAAATATTCCATTTTATTGTCTTTATTAATTAACGGCATAAACATTCTCCCTTCTCTCTCCATCTCCGCTGTCTCTGCCAAGCTAAGAGGAAGGGGTATTGTAGTGGTCATAACTGGGAACTAAAGGTCTGGAGGTCCTGTTAGAAAGTGGGAGGGAGGGGTGTAAGAGAAGGCACTTAGGAGTAAGGGGTCCTTTCCCCAGGGGGTCAAGTGGTAGACCAATATGAGGCAGCTGCCTCCTGGAAAAGCAGTAAATCTCATTATTTTTTAGACTAGCAAAGATAACAGTAACTTCTACAAGATTTTCCTTTGGGAACAGGAGCGTAGGGGTATATACATTTTAGCAAAAAGCAAGGAGTATACCAGGATGATGGGCTAAGCAAACAAAAAGCTCAGGAAAAATAATGGAACTCCTAATATCAAAAGAAGAGCAATAAATAATATCCCAAGTCCAATCCGTCAGCGCCTTTAGAAGAGGCAGCCTGTAGGCATTGTTGAGGCAGTGGTCTTGGTGTCAGGGGCCGGGGTGACATCATGCGATTCAAATCCATCACCAAATTAAGCTTTTGGGTTGGGTCAGCGTGGGGCTGATATATCCTTTCATACGGATACTCTGCCTGAGGTTGCAGACAGCTCTGAAGGCATGCAGGTGCCTGCTGTGTCCATTCAGCAGTTTCCTACTGAAGCCTGGAGCGCTCAGCCTGCCACTGAAGACTGGTCTGCAGCCCCCACTGCTCAGGCCACCAAATGGGTAGGGACAACCCCTGAGTGGTCCTAAGCTGTTCTTCCACAAAACTCTTAACAGAATGGAAATAAGGTTGAAGGAAAATAAAGAGTTTCTAAAGTTTGTGCCCCCCAAAAAAGACCAACCGTAAGTAACACTTCCTTTTCCCTATTCTGCAACAGTTAAGTATTTATTCATTTATCAGTTAAGTATTTATTCAATTATTTATCCATCATTCAAACGCATTTTTTGGCCCTTACTATGTGCCAAGTAATGATAGTTGTGTTTTAGAATATTTGGTATTACAAAATACTTATAAAATAGATATATAAACGATAGTATACTTATATACTGCATGCCTATGTATGTCACATACACACAGCACACAGAAGCATACAACTTGAAAGAACAGTTTTATAATTAGAAAACACTGGGGAAATACTTGTTTGCATCAGTTAAGTTCTTAAATTTCCAACAATAGTAATTGCTTCTTGCTAAATGAATCAAAGGAAAATTTATGACATCAGTACCTGGAATTGGTCTGGAATTTGAGAGATAAAGATCCTCCCTACTTTAAAGATATCTGTTGCCTTTCCTTCTATTATTTTATATCCAGATTATTTTCTACTTATAATTGGAACTATTAATATATGGGAAGTTCTATTGTAGGTATTTCCACATATTAATGAATTTCATGTACACATTAAACTTATGATGCAGGCATGTTATTATCAGATCAATTTTATAAGTGAAGAAACTGAGACACAGAGGTTAAAAATATACCTAAGATCTAAATGGTATAGCTGGGATTCAAACACGTGGACTCATGCTTTAGAATCTGTCTCTGAAACACTAGTCTAGCTTACTTTCCTACAGTATCTATGCACATACTTCTATTTCTCTCTGAGGAGGTATTTGGGTCTCCCAGTATTCATAATTCTGCTTTTCATTTGTGAGTTTTGTCAGTTATGCTCACAATATGAAAGAAAAATGCATTTTTTATCACTTTATTGTAAAGTATCACTTATTTGTAAGATATCTGCTACCACTTACAGCAGACGGTTTTCATATTTTGGTTGCACAACATCTACAACCTTTCTTAATAGCACCCTGATATCATTATGGAGAATTACCTTCCCTTGTGTTTTATACATATGCTGTATGGTTTAATCACAGGTCCTGCCTCCCACTACAAAAACCAAGAGGGCCAGACCCTGTCTCACTTTGATCCCTGAAATAGCAAGAATGTGGTCAGCTGACCTAAAGCCAGGTAAGCAGACTCTTTTCCAAGAATGTAAGATGCAATGAGAGACACAGTGATGAGGAAATAGTGAAAAGGCAATCACTGCATTAATAGTGGCTGCCTTATTCTGGGTTCTCCAGAGAAACAGAACCTACAGGATGAAGAGACAGAGAGAGGGAGGCACACAGAGAGAAACATGGTAATAGTAGCTTATTGTTTATGATCAAATCAGTATTTTTACTGCCAAATGTTAGAAACAACTCAGGTGAACAAGAGAAGAGAAAATGGGAAATAATAAATTGTGAGCTATCTGATGAAACGTGGAAAGTAAAATGAATGAACTCAATCTATATTGTATCAACAGTAGCTTGATTTCTAAAACAATGTCATATTAAAAAACAATTTGCACAAAGTTCCCCAACATTTGATACTATTTGAACAATTAAAAATACTATGTATTGTGCATACATACATAAATATATATAAAATACACAAATTTTGCTTAGAAACAATTTCATGAAACGGTTGTCTTTGGAGAATAAGGGAGGAAAATGGAACTGCTGAGAGGAATACAGGAGATATTTGACTTTATTTACCTTAAAATTATCAAAGGCAAATACGATACAAAATTCAATTTGTTGATTTTGTGGCATTTATAAGTAACTTATGTTTCTATAATACAGTCCCACAAATAGGAAAGTTAAATGATAATTAATCATTAAAAAGACTACACTTTATTTATTTTCATCAACAATGAAACTGACTGATATATTCTCCTTGCATTCGCCCTCAGTTCAATTTACAATTTCAAAAATTACCACGTAGTTTTAAATCTCCAATATTTTACTAATAGGTTGACTAAATATTATTAATGCCCCTAAATATAAAAGGGAAGACCACACAATTGAAATGAATACCACTCAACTGTATGGTATATAGTTATAATAATTCCTCTGGGAAATAAATAGTAGGTCAGTTTTCAATGAAACAGTAAACCTTTAAAGATATATTAACTTTAAAGATATATTAACTTTTTATAGTGGAAATATTTTTATATAACTAAGGAACAATCTATAAAAAGCATATTAATTCATTTACCTCATTTTTTTTTTTATCATATTTCTTCAGAGTTTCAAGTTCCTGGGTCAACTTTGAATTCAGTAGAGGACCATTTTCATTCATGTAATCAACATCTGCTTGAACCTTTGCATTTGTTTCTTCCCATTTTGCGTTTTGTTCCTCAAAATGTTTTAGATGGTGAGATTTATCTTCAAGATGCCATCGTAATTCTACGATATCTCTCAAATAGGCCTCGTGTTCTAGACATACAATGATAAGAACAAGAAAAATCCGATTTTGAAATGTAAGATTAATAACAGATATGTATGAAATATTTTTTGTTTCAGAAATTACTTATCTGGGAATCTTAAAATGTTATTTTATTACTGCATTATAAAATATATTGCCTTCTGTATTTATAACTGAAGGGATTAAAATATATGTTTTATAAGTTAATAATTGTTTAGGTATAATTCTGTTTAGTACAACCAATATATGTACTGGGTTATATATAATCACTCTAACTTCGTTTTAAAAAGTCAGTCATTATCTTGTTAAGTATTACCATTATAATCCCCATGATGGTTTTCTACTAGATATTCATTATACCTTCTCATTTTATACTCCATTTTAGATATTTTATTTATATTTTCCACCTCCTGTGTAGCTGTGATGCATTCCATGCAATTTCCTCAAATTTTACAACTTACGATTATTACTGTTCTTTGTCTAATAAACCATTTAACCAACCACTGAGTTATTAATTTTAAGTAATATAATTTTCATTTTTAGTAAGTCTTTTATTATTTCCATTTTTGCTTTCCTTTAAAAAGTCTACTAGTAAAATCCTCAACAAAATATTAGCAAATCAGATCCAGCAATATATTAAAAAGATCATACATCATGACCAAGTGGGATTTATTCCAGGGATGCAAGGCTAGTATAATATTTGCAAATCACTAAACAAGATACATCACATAAACAAATTGAAAGACAAAAATCACATGATCATATTAATAGATGCAGAAAAAGCATTCAATAAAATCCCAACACCCATTTTTGATAAAAGCCCTCAGCAAAGTGGGAATTAGAGGGATCATACCTCAACATAATAAAGGCCATATATGACAAACCTACAGTCAACATCCTACTCAATGGGCGAAAACTAAAACCATTTCCCCTAAGAACAGGAACAAGGCAGGGGTGTCCACTTTAACCACTCTTATTCAACATAGTACTGGAAGTCCTAGCCACAGGGATTAGACAAGAAGAAAATGTAAAAGGCATCCAAATTGGAAAGAGGAAGTAAAGCTGTCATTATTTGCAGATGACATGATATTGTACATAGAAAATCCTAAAGACTCCACCAAAAAACTACTAGATTTAATGAATGAGTTCAGCAAGGTAGCAGGATACAAAACTAACACCCAGAAATCTATGGCATTTTTATACACCAATAATGAACTCTCAGAAACAGAAACTAAAAAAACAATCCCATTTACCATTGCAACTAAAAAATAAGATACCTAGGAATAAACCTAACCAAAGATGTAAAAGACCTGTACTCGGAAAACTACACAGGACACTGAAAAAAGAAACAGAGAAAGATATAAACAAATGGAAAAATATACCATATTCATGGATTGGAAGAATTAACATCATAAAAATGTGCATACTACCCAAAGCAATCTATAAATTCAATGCAATCTCTATTAAAATACCAACAGCATATTTCACAGATCTAGAAAAAACACTTCAAAAATTTATACGAAACCAAGAAAGATGCCAAACAGCCACGGCAATCTTGAGAAAAAAGAACAAAGTTGGAGGGATCAAAGTACCAGATATCAAGTTACACTACAAAGCCACTGTAATCAAAACAGCCTGGTACTGGCACGAGAACAGACATATAGATCAGTGGAACAGAACAGAGAACCCAGAAATTGACCCACGCCATTATGGTCAATTAATATTTGACAAAGGAGGCAAGAACATACAATGAAGTAAAGACAGTTGCTTATTAGTCCTTATTTTTATTTTCAAACTTCTTTTTATTTCTTGAAACATATAAAACACACTTATATTATAATGTACTGTATAATCCAATATCTGAAAACTTTTTGAGGAAGATTCTGTTGTCTATTTCTACTGCGTTACCCTCATTAAAGCTGGATCTTTGTGTGTTTTATATTTGCTATCGAGCAACTCCTCATCTTGGAATTTTATCTGAGATGAAATATATCCCTGTGGGTAGAAAAATATCTACTCTTACCTGAGCTTGGAGTGTTTTTGTGAAATTTTTACAGTTAACTCTTGAGAATAAAGGGAGAAAAGAGCATAGACAAAGCTTGGATTAAAGTCGTTCCCAGCCTAGGCTCTGGGCCCCTTTCCTGCTTCTTCGGTTCCCCAGAAGGAAGTGAACAAATGGGGAGTTCAAGCTGTGAGGCCAGTATTACTTTAGAAAGAGAAAAAACCGTTAAACCTATATGTAACTTATTTTATTAAAATAACATAGTTGAGGAGCCACTGGGTAACGGTATTTTGTCAGGCATAATAAAAACAATATTAAAACCCAAGTAATCAGGAAAAAATGTAAAAATATGTATAAAAATTCTAATCTTTTCTTGCCACCCCCTAAAATGTGTACACCCTACTTTGGAGACTACAGTTTTAGAATACATAACATTATAACGGGTGTGTGTATGAGTTCATTTTTACACATTATTTGAATTAATGGCTGTTATCCCAAAGTAATTCATAATGGCATCGCTTTTTCTCTCAGAGGTGTCTTGGTTTAAACGTTAGGTTATATGAGCACCCTAATATAATCCATTTGTAAAACATGTAAATCCTGAATCAGAATTTTTACCCTACAATAGCACAAACAACTTCCAGCCTCAGGCAGAATCATGTAGTCAGGCATGTTTTGATAGGTAGGCACAGTGTTTGGAGAATAAAAAATTGAATGCCTTTAGATTATTGAATACTTTACCATAGGTCTCTCACTCTGTAGTCTAAAAGATAGCATTTTCCTTTTGAAACGTTTGTTATCTGCATGACTCTTGGAAACATCCTGAGTTTTATAGCCTGCTAGAAGTTATCAATAATATTTACTACTGAATTCTCTAAAGCAGATGCATGTAGTTGCTAAAATGTTGCTTAGAACTCTTGTGTCTTACTATGTTTAAAGATGTGGCCAATAACACTAACTGGCAATCACTTTAAATTTCTAGTCTTCAAATACTGTAGTCGTTATATGAAGTATATACCAAACATTTGTGGACCCCTTGGTTACCATAAATCCTAAGGAATTTCAAACAAACACTAATGACAGCAGGTCGAGGTTTGCTCAATACATTCCTTCCAACTAAACATTATCATTAATAGCATCTATTAAAAGTCCACCAGTTTGGATGCAAAATAATATGGTCACTAAAAGAGAGTCGATTTTTTATTTACAGCTACAATTGATTATCCATGCCTCTCTAACAAAGTAAATGGTAGTATGAAAAATAAATATTACCTTTCTGCACAGCTAACGGGATTTCTTGAAGTCTCCAGACTGACCAAGAGTCAATTGTCATATTTATCATTTTCCTTCTTGATTTTTGGTGTTTCAAAGCTTTTTCAGCTTCTGCACGGTCAGTTTCTAGACATTTAATGAGATAAATAGCCTCTGATAGCAGTGTTTCCATTTCCTGCTTTAATTCTGGACACTTTTCATCTTAAAATAGGAATATGCATTCACATTTGTTAATGAATCAGCCTATAAACCGGGTGGTGTGAACATGGGTACTAGTTGTATCACTCTATTTAATATTTATATGTTTAATAAGAAAATTTTAGAAAAACAAATTAGCCCTTTAAAGACCATTTTATTATAATACAATCATAACATTGATTATAAATTTTGAAAGGAAGATTTTTAAATGGACATTTTATAAAACAATTAGAATAGCTAAATCTCAACCAACATCTTTCATGCACAATATTTTATTTGAAGGAAAAAAACACAACACATGTTCTGTTCACGAGCTGTAGTTTTAAATTGTGCTTGTGTTTCCTCTCATTCTTTGAGAAAAGGAAATCATAATTATTACATCAGATAAATACTGGAAATCCTCAGATGGTTCTTAGAAACAGGACACTTAATATTCTTTATCTTATCAGATGATAATATCTACTTAGCCTTGCCAAAATTTTATTGTTGTTTCCAAATTCTATTTATTCAGTTATAACACAAATTAACTCCTTTAATGAGAGATGTTTGTGATTCCTGGTTCACAGCTCTGGAATGATATGGTTTAATGTTAATGAAATGATTAATATGGCCATTCTTCTATTTAAGTAAGAAATGGATAGAGAACCTGTTAAATCCTAGGCATATGCTCTCTCCCTGGAAACAGATCAGTAAAGAATATGGATATGGGTCCCACCCTGGTGACATTTATACTTGTAAACAGTGACTTTTGCCAAAATGTGACTTAACAAGATGACGTAAACACAGTCCCAAGAGAGGCAAAGCCCCCAAAGCACTGAGGCCGAGAAAAAAACAGTAAAACTGGATCAAGGAGAAAGGCAGCTAATATATCATTGTTTTCTTTTGTTTTTGGACAATAAAGACAATAATTTTCTACAAGAAGGTAGTGTTACATAATGACTATACGTGGAACCTGAGCAGAGACAGTTTCGTCTTCTAACCTACGGTCTTGTCAAAGAAATTCAGCGTCCTGCCTAAAAGGAATTAAACGAGTTTCTCTATTGCAATGAATAAAATTATATTTTTCCAGACTGGTACTTTATTTGATATCTATTTATTTGGTCTATTACCTTCTTTTTATTTTTATTTTTCCAAATCCTATCACATCCTGTAAACTTCATATTCTTAGTTGTCTGCATTTTTTTTAACAATATACACATTAAACACTGGATTCTCCAGCCAACTTATGATCCATTTAACTTCTATAACAAGATTTCAGTCTCAAACACGTGAAGAAGTTAATGCCACTTAATTTAAAGCACTTCTGATTAGATATATTTGTGTCCAAAGGTGTTCATTATATTTTTACAAGATGACTTTTATACTGTTTCTATCATCGCATTCTAAAATAAATGCTGTGTGTATACCTTGGGGGGTCTCCAATTCATTGTATTTAATATCTCTCTCAATTTTTTCTAGAATACTATCTCAATCAGCTTTACTGTTTCATATTGAGTAAGTGACCAACCACCTGACATTTTTAGCATAAACATTTACAATAAATCTTCCTTATCTTGATACTGTCTTGTGTTTTAGAGTCAAATGTACATGTTTATAATCAACATAATTGTAGTTAATTTAAGTTATTCTGACTGATAATATATTGTTTTTCTCCCAGCATTTATCATGTGAATAATTAAGAAGTAATGAATGAGGTTTTTATCTTCATTATAGGCCTTAATAGTAAAAAGTAAAGCAGTAGAAACAGAGGCTAACTATGAATGACAGCTTTGAATAAAATATTCTTGTTTTAAAAAGTCCTGAGTTTATTAGTTATCTTTCACTTAAGGAAGGTGTTTAACAAATTTTTGTGGTAAGGAGGGGGAAGGAGTTAATTTAATACCAAGAATATATTCAAATACACTGAAGAATTTTAACACACATTTTATTCCAGTATATAAATTATTTTACATTTTGTAAACTGTGACAAGAATATTAATCTTGATTTATATAAATAGTAGAGCTGTGACGACCAATACGGTAGCCATGAACCGCATGTGGCTATTTCTATTTAAATCTAAGTTAAAGTTAAACTTAAAAATTAAATTCTTCAGTCTCACTTGCCACATTTCAAGAACTCAAACACTGTATGTGGCTGATATACTATTGGACAGTGCAGATATAGAACACTTTGATATCACAGAAAGTTCTACTGCACAGAACTGGAATTATAAGTCAGCTTCTTGAGAGGAGGGCCGGGATCATTATACACTCAGGACATAGACAAGTACACGGTACATAATAGTCATTAATAAATGTTTGTTGAACAAATGTTTAATTTTAATCAAATTATATAGCAGGCTCTTTCCTCTATTAGACACTCCTAAGAATTATAAAGCTGTTAAAACACTGTGAAAATTAGAAATATAGGAAATGAAAAGTCAATGAGCTTTTAAATATAATTACACTTATCTAAGTATGCAGTCCAACTTTACCTCTCTCTTCTTTGGGTTTGACCTCTTTGATTGGTGTAGCAATAGTCCAATCTTCTTTCAGGTCTTTTGCAGAAGTCCTGCTCCTATGTAATGGGAAATAAGAAACCAATTACTATAGGAGGGCTGTACTTAAAATTAGTAAAACAAATTTTAGGTGATGCGCTTACACAGAATTTTAAATGTTTGTAGTGAAACTTACTACATACACACTAATTCTACTATATTGGAGATTAATTCCGCAAAATTCTAATAGATAACGGGTTTTGTACTTCACGGTATACTAACAGAAATTTAAAATTTGTTACAAATGATCTGAAAACTTTAAGGTGATAATAAAGCAGTATTTTTTCATAAAAATAACTGGTCTTTCCTAGAGACTTGCTATCCGAAAAAGGGATTTTTTAAAAATAATTTAAATGAGCTATTTCTCTAATTTCAGTTTAGCAATTCCTGGGGTATCAACATAAATGAGAAGGAGCAAGAACACTATGTCAGATTTGAAGTTTAATAAGGTTTTAGGAAAATGTCCAAATTAAAATGTTATTTCTTTTCTAAAGAATCTTTCAGCTAAAGTTCTATATGTTGAAAAACAATATATTTCTCATTAAAATATTACTCCTGTCCAATTCTTTGACCTTAGACTAGGTTTCACTGTATTTAAATAGAAGTATTTTTTGAGGAAGTATTATGAGCTGTATCAATGACCACCACTTGCTATTTCTGATGGCTGCATATTTGTTTTGTTGTAATTCTACAAGTTATTTAGAAAAGTCTGTTTATTCTGAGGTCAGAAATATATTCATTATATTTTCTTCCTTCATTTTTAATTTCATTTTAGTATTTCTTTTGAATAAAGTAATGCATTTTTCTTGTTTGTTTGCTTTTAAAAACAGAAAAATAATTATTCCAACATCTATTATGAAATAATGCTCTCCCCACTGTCTTGCAATACCAATCATACATGACATAGTATGATATTACACATAATTGGATCTATTTTTGTGTATTATATTCAAAAATGCAGTTAAGTTTTAGACCAACACAATTCTGTTTAATTTTAAAATATATATATATTATATATATATAGAGAGAGAGAGAGAGAGAGAAAGAGAGAGAGAGACTAAGACAGAGAGAAAGAGACAAGTCACAAAACAGAAAATTAACGATTTGGAAGTGTAAACTTCAATGGCATTTAATACATTCAATGTGTGCAATCACCATCCCCATCTAGTTCCCAAATTCTTTTTTCACCTCAAAAGAATACCCTCTAGCCCTGGCTGCTGTGGCTCACTCAGGTGGTGGGGCATCATCCCATGCACCAAGAGATCGCTGGTTCAATTCCTGGTTAGAGTTACATGCCCAGGTTGTGGCTGGATTCCCAATAGAGGGCATGCAGGAGATAGCCGATTGATGTTTCTCTTTCACAAATGTTTTTCTCTCTCTCCCTCTCCCTTTTTCTCTCTCTCTATAAAATCAATTTTTTTAAAAAAAAAAAAAGAACACCCTCTATTAATTAAGCAATTTCTCCCCTTTCCCTCTCCCATTAGCCCCTGGCAAGATCTAATTTGCTTCCCATCTCTGTAAGATTTACCTAGTATGGATATTTCATATAAATGGAATCATACAATGACTGTTTCTGGCTTCTTTAACTTAGCCTAATGGTTTAGAAGTTTACCTATGGTAAAGCATGTATCAGAGCTTCATTAATTTTTATGGTTGAGTAATATTCCATTGCACAGATCCACAACCCTTTATTTATCATTAATCCAAGGAAGGATCTGAGACTGTTTCCACCATTTGGCTATTGTGAATGCTCATGACATGAACATTTGTAAAGTTTTTGTTTGAACACCTGTTTTAAAAACTTTTGTGTATATACCTGAGTGGAACGTTGGGTTATATGGTAAGTCTAGGTTTAACTATCTGAGGAATCAACAAATTGTTTTTCACATCGGCTGAACCATTTTACATTCCCATCAGCAATGTGCGAAGGTTCCAACGTTTAATAAAAGTGGCAACCAGTGGGCCATCCCTGTCTCATTCCTGATCTTGGGTAAAAACTTACAGTCCTCACCATTAAGTATGATGTCAGTCAAGTACTTTTCATATATGTCCTTTAACATATTTTGAAAATTCCCCTCCAATCCTAGTTTTTTGAGTGTTTTCAACATAAAAAGGTGTTGGAATTTGCCACCTACTTCCCATATCAATTGAGATGTTCAGGTGGGTTTCCTCTTTGCCTTTATTACTGTGGTAAATTGATTATTTTTGTATTTGGAACAGCCATTCCATTCCTAGGATAAATATCACTTAGTTGTGATATATAATTCCATTAATATGTTGCTTGATACAGGTGGCTAGTATTTTCTTGAGCATTTCTGTATTGACAGTCATAAAATCATTGGTCTATAGCTCCTTGTGATGTCTTTATCTGGCATTAGTATCAGGGTACCACTGGCCTCACAGAATGAGTTAGGAAGTGTTCTCATGCCTTCTATCTTTGTAAAGAGTTTGAGAAGCATTGGTATTCTTCTTTCAATATCTAGTAGAATTCACTAGTGAAGCCATCTGGTTCTTGGCTTTTCTCTGGTGAGTAATTTTTGATCACTGATTTGATCTCTTTACTTGTTAGAGATGTTTAGATTTTCTACTTCCTGAGTCAGTTTTGATAGTCCCGTGTTTCTAAAAATTTGTCTATTTCATCTTCATTATCTAATTTGCTGTTCATAGTATTATTAATTGTTCATAGTATTATAAACATTTTTATTTCTGTAAGGTCTGTATTAATGTCCTAATTTTTTATGATTTTAGTAATTCAAGTCCCTATTTTATTTTATTTTACTTTATTTCATTTTTGGTCAGTGTAGGTTTGTGAATTTGGTTGATCTTTTCAGAGAAACAATGTTTGTTTTCACTGATACTTTTTAAAAAATTATTTCATTTTTCTCTGCTCTAATCTTTATTATTTCCTTTCTTTTTCTAGCTTTAGCACATTTGTTCTTTTCTAGTTCTATAAGGTATAGAGCTCGGTTACTAAATGGAGAATCTTCTTTTAAAAAATATTTTAACTGATTTTTTTATAGAGAGAGTAAGGAAGAGGAAGTGAGAAAGGGAAATATCGATGTGGGAGTGGAACATCGATTGGCTGCCTCCTGCACACCCCCCACCGGGGATCAAGCCCCAACCTGGGCATGTGCCCTGACCTGGAATCAAATTAGCAACCTCTTGGTGCATGGGACAATGTTCAACCAACTGAGCCATGCCAGCCAGGACAGGAATCTTATTTTTTAATATAAGACTTTATAGCAATAAATTTCCCTGACTAATGTTTTGCTATATCCCATAAGTTTTGCTACATTGTTTTCATTTTTAATTCATCTCGAAGTATTTTTTAATTGCCCCTGTGGTTACAGCTTTGACTCATTAGGGTTTTTTCAGTGTGTCATTTAATTACCACATATACATAAAATTTTTAGATTTCCTTCTGTTATTGATTTCTAGTTTCATTCTATTGGGACACAGAAGATACTCTGTATGATTTCAATATCTGTAACTTTATTGAGAATTTTTTTGTGGCTTACTATATGATCCTGAATAATGTTCACTATAAACATGAAAAGAATGTGTTTACTACTGTTGTTGGGTGAAGTGTATTATATAAGTCAGCTAGGTGTAGATGTTTCTAGTATTAGTCAAGTCTATTTCCTATTGATCTTCTTTTTAGTTCTTTTATCCATAATTGAAGGTGATGATACTGAATTTTCAAATTCTTATTATAGAACTGTGTTCTTCTCCCTTCAATTTGGCCAGTTTATACTTCATATATTTTGAGGTTAAGTTTTTATGTATGTATATGTTTATAATTTTATATCATCTTGATGGAGTGACCCTTTTACGAGCACCCTGTCTCTTGTAATATATTTAGACTTAGAGTCTATTTTGTGTGATATTAGTATAGCCACTCCATCTCTATTTAGGTTACAATTTTCATGAAATATAATTATTTTTCCACTTTCAACCTACTTGTTTCTTTGGATTTCAAGTGACTCTCTTATAGAAAGAATATAGTAGGATAATTTATTTTTATCCATTCTATTTCTTTTTACCTTTTAATAAAAGTTAAATCCATTTTCATGAAAATTGATAAGAAAGGACCAACTTATAAGGGCCACTGATAAGAAAGGACCAACTTCTGCAATTTTGTTATTTGTTTTCTATATTATATAATTTTCATTCTTTAATTTCTCCATAACTGCCTTCTTTTGTGGTTAATTGTGGTTTATTTCTCTAGTATACTGTTTAAGTTTCTTATTGGATTTCTGAATTTTTAAGTTTTATTTTTAGAATTTTTCTTAGTAGCTCCATGGAGATTACAATTAAAATTTTAACTTCATGAAATTTAAGTTTAAATTAGAATCAATGTATTTTTAATAGTATTAAAGAATTCTGTTCCTTTATAGCTCTGCTCCTTCCCTTTATTTTTGCAAATTACACATTTATAAATTGTGTCACCATTAATATAGATAATTATGATTTTACCCATTTATATTTTTAATTGTATAGAAAAGTAAAAGATATAACAAAATAATAATGCAATTATACTGAATTTTTATCTTTGTAGCTACCTTTACTGTTTTCCATTATGTTTTTTTAATATGGCCTCAAATTACTGTCCAGTGTCTTTCATTTCTGCCTGAAGGACTCCTTTTAGGATTTCTGATTGGATAGGTCTTCAAATGATGAAGCCCTTCAGTTCTTGTTTCTCTAGCAAAATCTTAATTTCTCCTTTGTTTTTGAAGAACACTTTTCCAGGATCCAGAATTCTTGTTTGAAAGGTTTTTTTCTTCCAATAACTAAAATATGTCATTTCACTGCCTTGTGGCCTCCATAATTTCTGATGAAAAAGTGGCTGCTAATTTTGTTGAGGATCCCTTGTACATGACGAGTCACATCTCTCTTGCTTTCAATATATAGGTATACCCTGATATTCGAGAGTTCATATTATTCCCCTTTGCTTTTACAAAAGACCTTCATTAGTACCTGGTTTCACTAAGTGAAAGAAAACCAAAGAGAATTTTTTTGCTTTTAAGAAAAAAGGCAAAGAGTAAAAGTAGTGTTCAGCATTTGTTTTGCAGCAAGTCATTACATTGGTAGCAAACACACCAAGCAGTGAGAATGGCACCTCCAAGCTCCTTCTTTGGGAACTACACTCAGCATCTCAGTATCAAGCTACCATAGCTTTGAACTGTGTCTGTGAGCATGTGCTTCACCTCTATTTATTTTGTGCATCCATTAACAAGATGTGTCCTAAAGTATCAGAAAAACCTAAGAAAACTTGTAAGAGTGTTACACTTAACATAAAACTAGATGTAATTAAGCATATTTTGTATGATTTTGGGGATCTGGGAATGCTCAGAAATTCTTCCATATAGATGAATAGTAATTGCTTCTTTGCTTTATGCCATTTCAGTTTACAAAAAGTCTCAGTGGAATGCACTACTTTTGGATAGTGGGGAAACCTGTACTATCTCTGTCCCAGGCTTTCAACAATTTCATTAAGATGTGTCTTAGTGTGGATCTCTGAGTTTATCCTGTTTGGAGTTCTTTGAGCAGTTTTCAGCCAGTGTTTCTTCAGATACTCTTTCTCCCCCTTTTTCTCTCCCGCAGTCATTCTTGTACTCCCATTGTTGGTATATTTATATTCTTGATGATGTCCCTGGNCCCCCTTTTTCTCTCCCACAGTCATTCTTGTACTCCCATTGTTGGTATATTTATATTCTTGATGATGTCCCTGGAGTCTATTAGGCTCTGCTCATTTTTCTTCCTTCGTCTTTCTCCTCCTCAGCCTGGATAAAATCTCAATTGACCTATCTTCAAATCCCTGATTCTTTCTTCTGCCTGCTCAAACCTGTTGATGAACATCTCTAATTAAATTTTCATTTCAATTACTATACTTTTCAGCTCCAGAATGTCTGTTTTCCTCTTTTTTATATTTTCAATCACTTTATTGATATTCTGTATTTGTTGAGATGTTAGATTCCTGATTTTGTTTAGTTCTTTGTCAATAGTTTCCTTTATCTCTTTAAGAATATATAAGACAGTTGATTTAAAATCTATATATAATAAGTCTAATATCTGGGATGGTTTCTCTTTTTTTATTGTTAATGGGACAAACTATCTTTTCTTCTTTGCCTGACTCATACTTTTTGTATAAAACTGAACATTTTGAATATTTTCATGTGAAATGTAAATAAGGTTAGCCTCTGTCTATTGGGGTTATTGTTGCTATTTGTTATGGGTGGTTGTTATTTCTTTGTTTAATAATTCTTTGAAAGACTTTTTGTATCTTTCAAATATGTGTATAATTTGTCATGAGTGGCCTGCCACTAAGGTAAGTGTTTCATTAGTTTATTGATTAGCTTAAATACCTGGATCCAAAACAGAGGAAATAGGAAAAAAATACCCTCCCAATCTTAACAGATTGGCTCTGTACTGGAGTACTCCTTCAATGCTAATCCAGACTATTTACAACTCTGCCTCTTACCATCAATTCCTGCCTGTGCAGATCCTAATGATTAGCCACAGGTACAAGATTAGGGTTTTCTTGGTTCTTCCCTCAGCATGTGCCTAGCATTGGTTATATGTGTGCACTTCTTGATTCTCCAATATGCGTGAAAGCTTTGAAGAGCCTTATTTCCTCATGTATCTTCTCAACCTCTTCTTTCCCAGGTATTTTAGTGTATCAAATGCTAGGTCCAGCTGTTATCAACAGCCTCATACAGTGGTGGCAAGTGTATGCCTTTAAATGCTTTCAACAAACACTACCTGGAAGTGGTTCAAGGTCTGGGATTGCTCCAACTCAGGCAAAACAAAGACAAGCCTTGAGTCGATCAGTCTGGGAGTCGTCAGATAGGTTAAAATACTGAAACACAATTCTTCAAGATGAAGGTCCATGTTGTTCACTCTGGCACTTGCAATGGGCACCACAAATGCAGGTAGCACTCTTCATTGCCTCCACTGATCTGAGGGCTGGAGGATGGCAGGAAGGTAATTTAAAACACCACCGTGGTCTCTTAATATAATGCAGCAGACTCTTCATTAACTTTTCTCATGGTTGTTGTAAGTTTTTTACTAGATTAAAGAGTTTGGAAAAAGTTGATTCTGACCATTTTTTGCCAAATTTATAGTTGTTCAGTGGTGGGACAGAACCCTGGATATCCCTATTCTGTCATTTTCAGTGATATCCTAATTCTTACATTTTTAAAAAATTATATTTTAATGTTTAATATAAAAAAAATCTGCTTTCAGTTTTCTGTTCCTTTTGAAATCTACAGGAGATTAATCATCAAAATGTGAGCATGAAAAAATAAAAGAAGCATGATAGGTTCTTACCATTCTTCAAAAGAAGTTTCAAACTGTCAAAATAAAAGATATCCATAAAAATCAAATTTTAAGCATCTCAGAAAACAATAGTAAACTTAACTTATACTTGACCCTACTGGTAAAACTGTAACTACTCCACTTCACATACTCCATTATATTTTTGTTAAATTATACTCTGTTTCCAAAACAGCCATGTACTTCTACTACCTAGTCCTATATTTTCATTATTACTGCCACCTAATTGTTCTCACCTGTCATATATGTTTCTAAATCTTACACCTTCATCAAGGATCAGTTCAAATGCCACTTACTCCCAAATGACTTTCCACACAATCAGAAGTGAATGATATCCACTGAACTTCAATATATTACAAAAGAGTGGAAACATAATTACATGAGTTCCCAAACACTTAAGTTTTCCATAGTATTATCCCTGTATTAATCCTCTCCTGGACTATAAAACTCCTTGGTAAGAGTCATGTTCTATGATATACTCTAAAAGAACCTTGAGCTGTAAGGGGCATAAATTACCCAAAACACAAGGAATATATAGTCAGAATGTTATGGGCTTCATAGATAATCTCCAATTCAAGATGTTAGATTGGGTATATATCATTACTCCTCTTCAATTCCCATATCATACCAAAATTTCTGGAGAAAAATATGTATGTATGTCAACAAAATCACAGGACCATATATTTTAGAAGAATACCCAGAAGTAGAAAGTACTCTGTTAAGACTGACAGTGAAAACAGAGCAAAGAAAAGTATAACTCAGAAGAGACAAATGGAGCTGGTTTCAGGGAGATGCAGGGCTTCTCTGCAGAGCTCGAGTGGAATTCCCAGGTTGTGAAAATAAACAGGTGATATTTAAGCAAATAATATAAGGGGTGCCTGTGGTGAGATGAGCCAGTATTATATCTCCCCCGTCCCCCTGTAACAACCCAGAATACATGGCTGAGAAGTGGCCTCCTAGTCATTGTCATGAGAACTCTCTAACCACATCGGAGATCTGTCTAAGATGGAAAGGTTGTCTAGTAAACATGGAAGTTATGGCTCTAGAGATAAACAAAACAGAGCCTACGTAACTAGCAAAATCTCCCATAGACAAAAACAGGTGGGAGGAAAAACAAAGACAGATTCATCAATGAGTGAAAATATTCTAAGGTGCTACAGATTCAAATGTAAGTTTCTTTAGGCAAAAGCAGAGGCCTTCAATTCTGTTACAATCTTATGGGACCACGGTCCTATACACAATCTGTCACTGACTAAAATGTTATTTAGCTCATGACTATGTTCAAGAACCAATCATTTAACATTGAGTTTTCATCAACTTGCCCATCTTCCCCACTTACTTCCTACTTAGTTTTCTCCTCTACAAGTTTTGGTATTTTCTATACTGATGAAATTTTCTTATGCTCATTGTATAGTAGATTCAACGGAATCTAAAAAACACTTTTGAAGAGACTAAATTCATCTACATAAGAAAAAATGATAGGTGCAATTGTTTGAAATCCCAATGGGATTTTGCATGGAATGTGACGAGCTTATTCTAGAATTTATACGTACCAAAAATAGCCAAAGAAGTCTATAAAAGGATTAAAAGGAGGGAACTACCATATCAGATACCAAAACATATTATGAAGCATGCAAATTAGTGAAATGAGATACTGTAATAGAGAATTAAACTAACTGGTGAAATACAGGAGCCAGAAATAGATACAATCATTATGAAAACTTGATATATGATTAATACAGTATAGCTGATTTCTAAGAAATGACAGTATTTTGCAATAAAATTGATGTTGAGAAAAATAATTTTCAGATTTTTACAAATGAAAATTGCTACCTATTCTATTCTTACACACAATTTCACACTGTTAAACAAATCTCTAGTGAAAAAGTTTAAAATTTTACAATAAAAGGAAATATCTTATATGACCTTGCAGTATGGAAAGATTTCTTTAACAAGATGCAAAACACTTAAAATAAAGGGGAAAATGATAAATTTAAGTACATTAGAATTAAGAACTTTTTTACTAAAAGATATAAAGAAAACAAGGCAAACTTAAAGAATATCTTCAAAACATATATAACAAACTAAAGATAATAATTTGTTCCTACAAGTCAATAAGAACATACAAATAAACCTAAAAGAAAATAGGCAAAAGATAAACAAACATAGAAAACAATGAACATTCAATAAGTACATTAATATATTAATATGATCTAAACTAATTAATAATCAGAAAAATGTTATCTTTTGGTTTTGGAAACTGGTAACCTGGAGTCCTGAATAGTGCAAAGCCTATAATTAGGCTGATTTTTATGATAGTTTTAAGAAGCCATTTGAAGTATCATGAGAAAATCAGGAAGAAATTGGTTAAGAGGCACTTAATGAGTTGTGATACAATTATCCAAAAATTTAAAAGTCCTCAATAAGTGATTAATATCTAATTAATATTCTGTTTGATTCTCTTTATACTGTAATTAAAAATGATGTAATTTATACTGATAAAAAAAGGTTACTTAAATTTTTAGAAATATTTTAGGATAAAATATAAAGACCTTAACCTAGCAATATTTTTGTAGAAGTGATGAGCAATAAAGAAAAATTATTTAAATCAGTCTTTGATCTGTTGCCCACGGACTGATAGATTGCTACACAAATCGTTCCCAAAGAATCATGTCTCTTGGCATCCACATCTTGTCTAATACTCTACTGCAGCAATTTTCAACCGGTGTGCTGCAGGAATTTTTAAAACATGCAGTACTGAACTATTTAGGCAGGGACACTGACCTCTTTTCCCTTAGATTTGTCAAATTAAAAAAATGACAACAGCCAGTGCAGCACTAGCCATCCAGTGTGAATGAATCAAAATTACACCTATTTTTTGGTCAGGTCAGCAAAAAATGTATTTTTTTGTGTACTATGGAGTTTTAGTAATTAGTTTGTGTGCGCCATGAGATGAAAAAGATTGAAAATCGATGCTCTATTGCATTAACTGGAGAGGCTGATTATATGCTTTGCTTTAGCCAGTGGGGCTTCAGTAAACATAACACAAGCAAAGCTTTGTTAAGCACTTGCCCATTGAGATTTGTCCTCTTAGAACACTCTCCTAGCCACTAGCCGTTGAGTGAGGCCATCTTTATCACTACTCCCAGTTGAGTTAGCAGATGTGTGCATCCACATTATTGGCCCCAGGCAAGAATCAACAAAATTTCCGAGCTGAGCCCAGAACAAATTGCTCAATTGTAACCAAATAAATGTTTATTCTAACCACAAAGTTTTAGTGTGTGTGTTTGTATATGTGTGTATAGCAACAGATAACAGAAAAAACAATGGTCACTTTTATGAAGGTATTGTCATTAGAATACTGGACACCAAATGCAGATTTCAATGAATAAGTAGTTGGGAAGTGAGATCATCAGAGATTCTAAATTTAGGCAACTCTTCAGATGTTAAGTGGAACTGTAAGAGACATTGAAAAAAAGAATATATTTAATGGTATGTATGGGATACATTTTTTTCCTTGAAAAGAGGAGAAGCATCAATATTTTAAACGTGACAGGAGTGAGTTTTAAAAAAATGGAGATTTGGAAGATGGTGTACAGAACACCTGATGATAACAAGAAACTTGTCCAATGGAATACAGGTAAAGGTGGCAGCCATTGGTGGGGGAAGGAAATCTTCCATGGAAGGACAAAAGGAATAATGTTTGTGGAATTCAAGGATGTTCATACGTGGGATAACAGGAGTCTGAGGTATTTCTGTTATTATATCTCCCATTTTGGGGAGGAAGAGAAATACGAGAGGTGAGGTAGAAGATTTGGAGACCTGAGCAAAGGAAAGGATTGGAGTAGATATACCAGAGAATAATACTAGGGAAAGTTCTGGTTGACAAACAGAATAATTTCAGAACACTATTAAAGGTCCCATTGAGGTTGGAGACCACAAATGTATAATATCTCAAATTTGAATTACTGCATAATGTTCTCCAGCCCTATTTAGCATGTTGAGTGTAGAAGGGGAGATGGTAGACTATCTGAGGGATCTCTCCAGGACTGGTATTTTTTCAGACTAGAAGGGTGACAGGATAAAGAAGTAAAGGAGCAAATAACCAATTTAAGAGATGAATTGATTAGGAAAGGAAATCAAGGAAAATGGAAATGACAGAATGGGAAACAGTGGATATGTCAAGATTTGAACTGTCCTTAAGTTTCAAATGAAATATAATTGGTAACAGGATGAGAGTGCTCCAAACATCAGAAATTTGGTCAAGAGGGTCAGATGATTAAATACTAGGTTTCAAAATTAAAAACAAATATGAAATGGTGTAATCAAAGCAAAGCTTTCCAATTAGAATTATAACCATCTTAACGACCATGTTTTGACCCTCCTAGCTGACATACTCTCGGGTAAATAACATGCGCAGTGATAAACAGGATGTTCTTAGGTCACAGAGACACCTGGCTGCATGATAGTCTTGCCACTGACTGTGTGATCTTAGGGGAAATCAACCTCTGGAATCATTTTCCTCATCTGAAATTGGGGATGATAGTAGTTTCTACCTTACAAGGTTTCAATAAGGAGTTAATGAAAGCATGCATATTAAACCTATGATATAGAGTAAGCACTTAATAAAGTTTAGTTCCATTATCATTGTTACTGACGATAATGTTATTTTTGGACAATATCGTCTTTGTGTTTTAAACAATGATTTCTAAATACAGACAATCCCCAACTCTGGATGGTTCAACTTAGAACATTTCGACTTTATGATGGTACAAAAGCAATACGCATTCAGTAGAAAATGTACTTCGAATTTTTAATTTAAACATTTTCCTAGACTACTGATATATGGTAAGATACCTTCTTGATTCTGTGAGCCACAGCTCCCTGTCAGCTACACCATCATGAGGGTAAACAACCAATACTCTATACTATATTCATCGTGTTAGATGATTTTGCACAACTGTAGTCTAATATAAGTGTTCTGAATATGTATAAGGTAGGCAAGGCTAAGCTATGATGTTCAGTAGGTTTAAGTGTATTAAATGCATTTATTGGGATGTAACTCAATTAGGAAGTCAAGGAGCATCTGTACTTTCTCTCTATCCATTCTTTTAAACCATGGTTGCATCCAAATAACTTGAATTGATTAAATAAAGAGAAAAATTTCAATTCAGTAGAGATCACTCCAAATTAAATAAAAGTATGTCTAGTCTAGTAGAATAAGGTGGCAGAAAAAAATTTTAAAACCTAATTTGTATGGGAAGTTATCCAGGCAATTATTAAGCCTATAATATGTAGTAAGTGCTTAATTTATTCTGACACAAAGGAAGCCACTGTGACATAAGGAACAAACAAACTATCATGGTTGATCCAAAAAAGATTGATCTTTCACTCCTCTAATGTATTCCATACCCAAAGTAGATGGTAGCTTTTCAATTACTTATAGAGCTTTATCTAATAAAAGATTAAAATGATCCTGGTTAAAAACAAACAAGCATTATTCCAAAAAGGAACTCAATACCCATCAACCTTCGAGCCCCAGCCCCAGGAAACCTTCAACCTGTTTTTTGGTCTCTATATACACTGGCCTGTTTTGGTCATTTCATATTAATGGGATCATATAAGGTGCCGTCTTTTTGTGATTATGATAATGGTTACACAACTCTGAAAATACACTAAAAAACACTCAGTTGTTCACTTTAAAAGGCAAACTTTATGGTATATAAACTATCTCAATAAAGCACTGTTTAAAAATCAAGCAGTTTGTGGAGAAGCATGGACAATTTAAACGAAAGTGAAACTGTTGCAAATCAAAAGGAGAGGAAAAACTGCTTGGCCCAGAGAGGACATCACTCTCTCCCTGTCCTTGACCCCACCCTATCCCATCAAAACTGCACTCACTGAGTCCTCAGGAAAAACCTAACTTTATCAGAGAAAGGCATCACTGTGGATTGAACAAAGAAAAATTCAAGAGCACTGTATTTTCAAGATTTGAGGACCTTAGCAGGAGATAAATAAACCTGTACTTGGGCAAACATCCCCTTCTCTGTGCTGGCTGCTGGACACTTCAGGGACCAGACCAGACACTTTTCCAACAACTAGAGGATGAAAACATGAGATTTAAAGTCTTTAGACAGATAATTAAGCCAGTTGCCTGTTTTGACTCCTCACCCAAAAATCCAGAGGAATCAGATAATCTGCTACTCAAAATAAGAATTATTTTGTGCAGCTTTTGATGGGGATTACAATGGAATTTGGGGCCAGCTGGTTATCACCAAGTTGTTTCCTCTGCCTTGTTCTGCCATCTGCATACATAATCCCCCTGGAAACTGGAGTCAGGGGGAGGCCCCCATTGTTCCCCAGCACTAAACAGGTACAAAACAGTGCCTGGGATTGTAGGCAATGAATGAATAAAACGAAAAACGTTAATCTCCTCTCCAAGGTACAATCTGTTGACAACTTTAATTGGGTAGAATGTTTTTAAGTGATAAAAATCTTGAGAAGAAATGCCTTTTATCTGTATTTCATTCAGGCATTCTGGAATCATTAAAATGAACCCAGAGACACACAAAAATTCAGTATTTTCTGCAGGATAATTATTCATTTTAAATATTTCTTACAGAAGTAACCTTTTTGTTTGAAATTAGTTTTATGCTTAGGTTAACTAATTTTGAATTGTTATCTATAGGAAAATGTATATAATCTTTCCATAAAAATCTGTATGTGTTTGCCTTTTTGGAAATAAAGATTTTTTCCCCAAAAAATTTATAAGCCATTCTTTAAAGATTTCTTTCAAGTCCTGTTTCCTTAATTTTCTTTTTAAATTTTTCAAGAAGAGTATGAATGTAAAGTTATCTAACTAATATTACCAAAAGTAATGGAAAGCTCTTTTCTCATTTTAGTAGGTCAGTCAGAAAACAAAATAATCTGTAAAGAAGATAGGCAGCTACCAGTTCATTCTCAAAATATTAATTCAAATATAGATAACTAAATGTCTAATCAATAATTGTGGTGACCTAAACAAAAAATAGAACAAAAGAAACTTAAGTTAATATACTCTATTAACCAGTTCAACACCAGCAAATCTAACTACTGAATATACAGTCAAAAAATAAAATAAAATGTTTTTAATTTAGATAAATAGAGTCTATAATAGGTCTTGAAATTTAAAAAATATTCTGAGTATATATTTCATAATAAATTAGATAAAGTTTATATGTATATCACATTTATTTATTTGCAAACAAATTATGTTATTATTACAGCTTTTGTCTAGAAATGTGTTTATCTGACAGTGTTATTTTGTGTGTTTCATTTGTCAAAAATGCTAACTAACACTATGTTAATGAGAATTAAGGCTCTTTTTTGCCCTTTGGGGTCATAAAATAGAGACTGAAATGGGCTTTGGGGTCAGATGAAACTCAGTTCAAATTCCAACTCTAATGCTTACTACCTGTGCAATGACGTATGAATTACTTAATTTGCCTAAGTCTTAGAATTTTCACCAGTAAAGTAGGATTCCTGTAAAGGACAAACACAAAAATATATATTTATTAAGTGCCTAGAGAATAGCAGATGTTTGATAAATGTAGCTCTTACTATATTAGGTGGAGAGGTGCCTCAGACGTATCTGGAAAGCAAAGGCTCTGCTTCAGGTCCTCATTTATTTTTTCATTCAAAGGACATTTAGTGAGTGCCTACTATGTATTAGGCTCTTGGGTAGGCCACAGAAGGCAGCATTTACAAAGAAGCAACAGAAATAATATAATACTAATATAGGATCACATAAATAGTATTATAGAAATAATAATAGCAATATATATTGAATGCATGCCATATACTGGCACTTCAACACAGTATCTCCATTCCCATCTAAGGTCACAGAATGTGTGGCTATAAAGCTTGTGATTTTAACAAATGCACCATAATACTTTTCTCGAAGGAAACAAAACCCTAGATCACGCATCACAAGTGGCCCACCAGAACCTTTTCAGAGCTATTCAGTAACAGTGGTGAAGGAAGAGAAGAAGCACAGGTCTCTGGCAAACTCACCCTCCCATTTGCACATTCTAATTGTGCATTAATTGCTATGAGGATTTTATCATTTCTAAATCATCCTTTGAAAATACTGAATGTTACAGTGATTTCAAGATTGAACTCCCCTCAAAATGATAAATGTGAATTAACAGTTTAAAAAGACAAAGAAAGAATAATTATATTCCCTTTCAACAGACCTATTAAGTATTTCTTTAGAACAAAATAACTCATTAAAAAGGGCACACTGTCCTTTTATACACCAATGTACTCATCTAATCAGCTTAGTGCCCCAAAAAAGGATGTACATACTATTTAATTTACTAGTCAAGTTGGCTTATGGAAATTACTACTTAGCATGATTGCCTTTGGATAAAGAAGAAATAGGTGTGGGGGGGGAAATCTACTTAATGAGGTTGTTTTACCCTTCTGAAGTGAGACTGTCAAAATCATGTCTAGATTAGATAATTATACAACTAAGCAAAGATTCTATAAACTGTTTTAACTATCATAAAAATCAACTTCTTAAGTTAAGTAACATACCCTTATAGGCTTTATAGCGTTTATAATAATGTTAGCATTTTAAATGTCACTTGCCTTTTTCAAATGCTCCTGTATTTTAGACTCCATGTCGTCAATGTGTGAAATCATTTTGTTTACACATGGCGCTGGAATATTTACTAAAGAACAGCTGTGACGTCGACATGGGTAACTAAAGTAAATGCCTTGGTTCACCCCTGAAGATGAAGCAGACAGTGGAAGTTAGTTATCAGTTATATACAGTGTGGTACCTTGATGTTCAGAAAATGCAAAATATTCAGCTTTATTAAACTAATACTCTTAAATATTTTTAATAGGTTGAAAAACATGTCACAACTACAGAATGAACCTTCTCCAAATTTAAAAGCTAAGATAATCATTTATGACTTAAAATGTAACAAATAAAAATGAACCAAAGAAGCACGAATAAATCTTCAAAGTTAAAAACTTTAAGTGTCCCATAGCATTATAAACTAACCACTGGGGGTGGAGGGAAAGTAAAGAAAAATGGCAGAAAACATAATAATCCATTTGTTTCTAATAAATCCTAAATCGATTTAAAAATGACTTTGAAATATATTTTAAATTCTCCTGTCAAAGAGATTCCGCATCTTCCAATGTAAATAATATCCAACCACTCATGCATTGAAGGATTTCTTCCTTAAATCCAGCATGAGTTTCTCTTGCTGAAGAAAATAATACCAGGTCCCCTTCATCCTCATAATAACCTCATTTTCCACCTTCCATTTCTGAAAATTGGAGTCTCTTACAAAGAGTGATTGATGTTCTCACTATAGCATTCAAGTTGTACTCATCATAAAATCCACTCAGTCTGATGTGCCTCAATGATTCTAATCCTGGCATGTCCTGAATCAACTGAAGGTTGCAGAAGCACAGCAAAGTTGTCCATGAAACTCCACCAAAGTGCTTACTTGCAGTCCTGTTGTGTCTAAGGGCTCTACTGGGCTGGAATAGAGCTGCAGTTACTGATCTTAAATGCAAAACACAAAACAGGCTTGGTGCTTCAATGAGAACAGTGAGATGACCTCATTTCAGTTGACCTTGAGAAACAGAGGTAATGCTATTGCCCACGGACTGCGCCTTTTGTTTCAATGCCAGCCTATAGAGATGGTACAAATTTTAGATATCTTCATTTAAACTGAGATCTTTTAAATGAAGTCTCCTCCAAAAACACAACTTCTGTGAAAATGGCGTATGTTTCATTCATAAATAAAAATTTTTACTCTATCCCATGTATATGAATATATGTGTGTCTATATATATACACATATACACATTATCTTGATTACGTGAGGAAAACTAAGGCTTAGAGAAGTTCTATAACATGTCCAATTCCACAGAACTGGTAGTGGGAGAGCTGGTACTTGAATGATATCTTGCTGGCCATAGAGTGTAAGCTATTCTTCAAAGGTTGTTTTTATATTTTTTTAAATGTGGCAAAGGGAAGCAGTCCTAAAAATATATTTCAGGGCATCTCAAATGTATCACATACCACTTGTTTTTGAATTTTGAAAGTTCCTTCATGATATCAGTTTGCTTTGATCATACTGAACATATATACTTGCTTTGACTACTTTGTGTGTGTTATATCCATATTTCTTCTTTAGTTCATACACAGATATATACATATTTTCATCTTTGTAATAATCAAAGGACCAAAGTACAAGCTGGTGAAAATTACATATTGATCTCCTATCCAAGTATCTTGATAAGGGCATGTTGCCCTTCCCTCTAGAAATAAAAAGATTTTAATGTACATTTAACTACTAGGCAGTTGTCCTTATACTCAAAACATTTGTTTTGCTTCATAAAATGTAGGGAAAACAACGATAGTAATGACTCATTTAACATTTTTCTGCATGTGCCACTTTCAACCTATTGTGTGAATACTAATTAATTTCCATAGCACCCCTATTACTTGGGATTTACAGTGTACATGTGGTAAAGTGCAGAAAATAAAATACTATGAAGTTAAATTTTGCACTAAAATTCTGTAACACTTGGCATCATAAGCAGCACAAGGTAGAATCAGAATTCTGGAGTTCTTACTGCTGTTTTTATCCTAATGCATGGTATAAGTTAAAAGTTTGCTTTGCAGTTCTTTTTAATTTCACCCACCTTAAAAAGACACCTAGATCACTGAACTAGGTGTCCACATTCATTCATTTTTTGACGTGACTGATAACTGTGCTTCCTAAGCAAAAACTACACAGTCTCTAGCCTTAGATTTCTCATTTAAAAAATGAATGGGTTGGTAGGATGTTATATAAAATGTTTTTCACCTAAAATTCCATGATATAATGAGAACTAATGGTCTTAGTCAAACATTAATTGATAGAGCTGTTCCTGGTGAAGTCTGTGCACAAGTGGTCAGGGTGTTTAAAGAATTAAGCTCCAACAGGACTCATCCTCTCTAAACATCTGCCCAATTCCAACTTCCTTTCTCAGAATCAATATATAAGGGGAAAAATCTCCCTGGATCTAAGCCAGAGTTGAGGTTTGTTGAGATCCTGCAATGTGAAACTTCCATTGGAGAGAAAATATGGACTGGCTAAGTGTGTTGGCAAATGAAATAAAAAAATGCTATGTTCATAAACTGTCAACTCTCCTTGCTCAGTGAATTTGATGTTTGCATAATTTATTCACCTAGCCATAATAATTTAACATGCATTTGAAATTTTAGATGGTAAAATTAAAATCGTACCAGTGGATATGGGGAATGGGTGGAGTGATACTGACTACAGAGAGCATGAATGAACTTTCTGGAAAGATGGAAAATTCTATATTCTAAGATAATAGTAAAATAAATGTGTATATTTGTCAAAAGTCATTGACTTGTGTACGTACTTGAAGTGAGTGAACTATACTGTACTTAAATTTTACCTCAAAAAAATTTGTTTTATAAAAAGACCACTAACCATACCCTAGTAACAGAATTCAAAAACTTCCTATCAGATTCTCCATCTCTTTTAACTCTTTATATAGCACAGAACAGAGTAGACAACCCTTCCTGGAATGTTCTTTACTTTAATAGCTTTCTCTCACTTCTTCATTGCCTATTTCTCCTCATAGGCATGACTCTTGGTTAAGAATTAATTTTCACTTAGTCATCTCCTCTAAGTGCTTAACTCCCAACTAAACATCTTTACACTTAACTTTACCCTGAACTCCTTGTCAAAATGTACAACTCTTCCAAAACATCCTTCCTAGAGCCTGACCCTTCACAGAGAGTGACCCTAGCACTGAATGTAGGAAAGGGGAGGTGGGACCTGGGGGATGCTTTGCAGGATGAGAGGATGGAAGTTAAAATTAGAATGTACCCACTGAGAAGTTGATATACCACAAACAAGGAAATAAAGAAATTCATGATGCCTGTAATCTAACCTGTCAAAGCCAGAAAGACTATGGGGGGGGGGGGAAGCATTCCTATCATCTGGCATAGAGCTAGAAAAGATAAGGGAGACATACAGAGAGAGCTCCAGGACAGGAAGGTTCTGATACATTGCAAGCAGTGAGAATGGTGCCTGCCAGAGTGGATAATCAGGAACTATTTGGCAAGTAAAGCACTGATGGGAGAGTAAAGATATACCAAGACAAAACTTTTGATTACAGGCCTGCCTCCAATCTACTTAGTATTAAACATTTGGACTTTTTCAAGGCCAACAAGCCAAAGGTAGTCCAGAGGAGATATCTATTTGCAAAGCCAGTATTTCTAAAACTAAACTCATCTTTGTTCCACTCAACCTCCTTTCCTTTCTTACTTTTCTGTTCCCATTATCAAAGTGTGCAACAGTTAAATCATTGTTGAACCCTCTTTTCATTCATGTTGCTATATTAATATAATATCAAATCTTAATCCTTTATAATGTCTTCAATGCCTATCTTTCATAGCCATTGATCCTTCGTAAATTAAGCCCTTATGACTTAAGCTGGACTATAATGGTAAGGTAATCAGTCTCCCTATTTCCTCCCATAACCAAATAATTCTGCATAGCAGACTCATATTTCCAAGCAAAGGATTTGGTTATGTAACATCTCTACTCAAATATATATAGGGCTAGAGACTCAGAAATAAAGGTCACACTCTTGAGCCTGAAATTCAAGTGCTTCTTGACTATACCTTAATCATTTCTAGCTTTATTTTAAGCAATTAGTTTTTTTTACATTTCTCAATCTTTCCTATGTTGTAGTCAAAGTAATCTATTTTTTCCATATTTTGTGCTGTTTCATCACTGTTATTTGACTCATTCTGTTCTTCTTGCTTAAATACCCTCCTTACTTTTCATATACAAACGTATCCTTCAATGTTCAGTTCAAATCGGTCCTTATACATTACAGTTCTCCTAATCCTTGGTATTACTCAAAACACTGAAGGTACTTCTTGCCCGTACTATTTGTTTGTGTACCACTGTGACACCACAATTTACAATAAATAATATGTATTTGGCCTTTGTCTTGTTTTTGGCACCAAGCTCCTAAAAGCCTTGGAATTTCCTAAATGAGAGCCCTAAAGGCGTCCTTCATTGCATTAATGAGATGACTTTTGGACCTCCACCTAAGGGTAGGGGCTGGTTGCCAGGAGAACTAACCATGTGATTGGAAAATTAAAACTTTCAATCCCATCCCCAACCTCTGAGGAGGACAGAAGGGCTGGAGGTTGGGTCAATCACCAATGGCCAATGATTTAATAAAACACACCTATGTAGTGAACCTTCCATAAAAATTCAAAAGGACAGGGTTCAGAGAGCTTCCAGTTATTGAACATATCGATATTTAGGGAGAGTGGTGTGCCCAGAGAGGGCATAGAAGCTTTGCACCCCTTCCTCATTTGTGAATGTACACATTGCACTATCTCTTCCTCATACCTTGCCCCATGAATCTCTTCCATCTGGCTGTTGCTGAGTTATATCCTTTTATAATGAACTAGTAAACTAGTACATAAAATGTTTGAGTTCTGTAAGCCACTCTAGCAAATTAATCAAACCCAAGGGGAAGGGGTGTTTATTAAAACCTCAAATCCACAGCAGTTGGTCAGAAGCTCAGGTGAAACCCGGGATTTCCACTGGTATCTGGAGTAAAGGAGGGGCAGTCTTGTAGGACTAAGCCCTCAACTTGCGGGATCTGATGCCATCTCCAGGTAGATGGTGCCAGAACTGAGTTGAATTGTAGGACACCCAGCTGGTTTCCAAGAAATGCTTGGAAACCCCATGCTCACACATTGCAATAGAGTACAGAAATTTTAACTATCTTGTGCCATCTCTGTTCTTCCACATAATTCTTTTCTAATTTGTAATAATTAGTATATAGTTATATTTTATTTCACCTGAGGATTATATATTCCATTTCTCAAATATATATGTATCCTCATAGCACACATACCAGTGTTTTGAATTTACTGGCTCATAAATCAATCATTGATAATTTTTTTTAAAATGTTCGAAACCACCTATGGTTCATAACTAACTATCAGCAATAAACTCTAAGCCAGAACATTAAAATTCTATTCAAGATTTCTACTGGACAGAAATAGATAAATAAATCAAACTGGCAACTTATCCCAATTTTATCCTGTCAAACTGAAAAACTCCAAAGCAAAAATTTACCAGTCAAGATTAAATCAAAACTTAAAATTTTTTTTGGTATAAGTTTTCCACCAGAATGATCTAAGAAAGAAATATGAACACCTGTACATCGAATGTACACACTGCACCATCTCTTTCCACACAGAATATCAGAAACACTTTTAGAGATGTCTTATGGATTCTCGATGAACAAGTTCTAATTCTGGATTTCACACCCCCAAAACATAAGTCCTTCTTTTTTTCCTTTTGTAAGACATATCCTCATTAAACTGGAAAGTTTCTAGCACCTGCCAGTCCTGGCATGAGCAATAGAGAATATGTTTATTTTCGAAATTAATATATTTGTGAAATTATAAACAATTCTAATAAACCAAATTGTAATTAACAATATATTATTAATAAAGTATACTATAATATTGTATTCTTAATATTATATATAAGTACTTTGTTAACTACTGATTGATATTTAGGGTTTATTTCTCAATAAAAATAATATTGACATCACAAACTAATGAGTGAATATAAATATAGTTTACATAGGTAACTATACAATTTACATTCAGTCCTCACCTTCAGTGTTTGTCATTTTATTTTCATAAAAAATCTCAACAGCTTCCTTGGGGGCGCCAAAAGGAACCAATGCTTGTGATGTGGCATTATCTTTTCAGAAGAAAACAAAAATTTTAGAAAGCAGTTAATATAAGTTTTTAAAATAATTAATGCACAAAACTATGTTGTGAAAGTGTTGTCCTTGAAAAAGCAACAATAATACAAACATTAACCAAAACTCACAGTAGAATATCTTCAGATGTTTCTCTGTGTTATTCAATTGGCTTAGTTCTTACAAAAAGGTATTCAAAATAGCATACAGCTATTAATAGCAAACAGAGACCAATCAGAGTGATGTCAAAATAGTGGAGTAGGATATTGCTACTCAAATAACTATTATAATACATAGGAATGATTTAAATTTATCTAAAAATAATGGCCAAATAAAACTGATACAGAAAAAACAGTAAATAAAATATATACATTTCTTTCCCAAGAAAGAAAATTTAATGTGACCAAATTATGAAGGAATCTAGAACTTAAGCTAAACAGTTACAAAGTCTTAACCTAAAAAGTTACTATTTTAGAAATTAAAGCTATAGTTAATAAATATTTATGTGTGTGTATAATAATACAGCACATCTAATTTAAAAAGCAATGCATTTTTAACATAAAGAAAAATTTAGAGAAAAAATAGAGATTTTAACTCACCCTCATTTCTGTGCATATGCATCTCAGACTAACCAAATTTATATAGATCTGATTAATACAATATGACAAATTTGATAAACATATTAGGAATTCCACAGAGATACATGATTTTAACTGTAATACAACTTTAGGAAAAGTGAAGCTAGCTCAGGCAACAGTAACTCAAAAAGTGTAACAAATAGAAACTAACTACATTAACCAATTTACTCTACAATTAGAAATGTCACATAAAATTAATTCAAAAGTACTTTGAAATTTTAATGTGTATTTCCAAATAACAAATGCATCAAAGAATAATTCTATGTCATAAGGTTTTCATTTAAAAATGAAAACCACTTTGTAAAAAAAAAGGCTTAATAAACTGAAAATCAACAACTTAAATCCATCAGGAAATTTAAATCACAATGCAAACTAAACCACACAAAAAAACAGAGACAGAGGCAAATACAGAGAATCATAGCTTTCTGGGAGTAGAAGTTGCTGAAGCCAAGAAAGGGCAGAAAATTTTGAACTGTTATTGATGAACTGCTGTGGGCTGTGCGAACTAGCCTGTGGATTAAAAGTTCCTGGGAACCAGCTTTAGAGGGTCACTCACACCTTCATTAGTTTTATTCCCAGGAGGTTCATCAGGTTCTCACAGTAAACAGTAGAAAAATATTATTTCCTGCTTTCAGAAAGAGAAGGGGGAAAGTAACTTTTGAATTATGCCCAGGGTGAAAAATAACCATTTCCAAAATGGCTATGGGCTATGCCCAGAGTTCTATTTTCCACCTGCCTGCAAAGGAAACTAATCTAAAGGAGCCTAACTGATGTAGGGAAGGGACTCCAACCCTCCCCCAGCCTTCTTGTCACATTTAATGTGGAAAAAGACAAAGAAGCATGACATAACATTATGCATTTGTCAAAACCCACAGAACTATACCATGTAAAGAACAAGCTTGGCAGGCCGGCCAGCGTGGCTCAGTAGCTGAGCATCGACCTATGATCCAGGAGATTGTGGTTCGATTCCTGGTCAGGGCACATGCCCAGGTTGCAGGCTCCATCCCCAGTGGGGGTAGTGCAGGAGGCAGCTGATTGATGACTCTCTCTCATCATTGATGTTCCTGTATTTCTCTCTCCCTCTCCTTTCCTCTCTCTGAAATCAATAAAANGCTCTCTCTCATCATTGATGTTCCTGTATTTATCTCTCCCTCTCCTTTCCTCTCTCTGAAATCAATAAAATACATATTTTAAAAAACTAGCCCTAGTGTAAAATATGGACTTTAGTTCACAATAATTTATCAAGTCTAACAAATAAACAACACTAATAAAAGATGTTAATAATACTTGAAACTAAGGGGGCAGACAGTGGATATGTGGGAACTCTATACTATCTGCTAATTTTCGGTAAACCTGAAACTACTTTAAACATTAAAATGTATTAATTTAAAAAATCAATCAACAGAAATACTCTCTGAGGAAATCCAGATTTTGGGTTCACTAGTCAATTACTTTACATCATCTGTTTTAAATATGTTTAAAGAGCTAAGAAAAGCATGTCTAAAGAAAATGTTAAAGGTATGAGAGTGATATCAAATAGAGAGTATCAGTAAAAAGACAAAAGTAAAATGGAACCGAGTAGATATTATGGAGTCAAAAACTATAATAAGTGAAATGAAAGTTTCACTAGAGGAGCTCAATAGCTACTTTGAGACAGCAGAGAAAGATCAATGAATTTACTGAAAGGTCAGCTGAGACCACCCAGTCGGACGAACAGAAGGAAAAAAAGAGAAGCAAAATGAATAGAGCCTGAGAGACTCTCTGGCAACATCAAGCGCACCACCACAGGCCTAGCAGGAGCCAGAGAAAGAGGGAAGGGAAAAAGCAGTAGAAAGACTACTTTAAGAAACAATGATTAAAATATTCCAAATGCGATGATGAACAATTTATACATCCAGGAAACTCAAGGAACTCCAAGTAGAATGAACAAAATTAGACACTTCATCACTATCTTGAAAGCAGTGAGAGGCAGAAATAAATCACTCACAAGGAATCATCAATAAAATCAAAGGTGGTTTATGAATAGACACCGTGGAGCCAGAGGGAACAGAATGAGACTTTTTTCATGCTGAACAAAATAAAATAAAAAATTCAACCAAAACTTTTAATCAGGCAAAACCACCCTTTAAAAATGAAGAAAAAAAATAAGACATTTATAGATAAACAAAAACTGATAGGTTTTCACTAGCAGACTTGCCTATAAAAATTAAAGGAGTCATTCAGGTTCAAATGAAAATAGTACCTTGAGTCTTCATTAAAGAATGACTAGTGCCCTAGCCAGTTTGGTTCAGTGGTCAGAGCATCTGTCCGTGGACCAAAGGGTCTCGAGTCTGATTCTGGTTAAGGGCACAGACCGCTGTTGCAGGCTCAGTCCCACCCCCGGTTAGGGAGTATGTGGGAGGCAACCAATCTATGTGTTTCTCACATCGATGTCTCTCTCTCTCTCTCCCTTCTACTCTCTGTGAAAAGCAATGGAAAAAATATCCTTGGGTGAGGATTTTAAAAAAAAAAGGGGGAAGGAAAAAATAGCATAGCGCTAAGAAGAAAGGTAACTGTGCATTACATATTAGTTAAATATAAAATCAGTATCAATGTATTTTTGTAACTTTTTTCTCTATTTGATTTAAAATATAACTTTAGAAAGCAATAATTTAAAATCTACAGTAGTAGGCACAAATGTAGAAAGATAATTTGTGACAATAACAGCAGAAGGAAAGCTGAAATAAAGTATAAAGAAGCAAAGTTTATGTTTAATATTGAAATTACATTATTATTAATCTGAGATTGTTATAAATTATGTCAATTGTAACCCCCAGCATAAACCTAAGAAAATAATCCAAAAATATATAGTAAGGCAAATGACAAGGGAATTAAAATGGTACACTAGAAAATATCTTTTTATTATATGAAGGGACAAAGGCAAAGAAAGCCATGAGACATCCAGAAAAAAAATTAAGTGGCAGTTTTAAGTGCTACTTTTAACAAGTTAAGCTAAATATAAATGGATTAAACTCTCCCATCAAAAGTCAGACATTGGAAGAATTCAAAAACACACTTTAGATTCAAAGACAAAATAGTTTGAAAGTAAAAGGATGTTAAAGATATACCATGCAAACAGTATATAAGAGAGCTGGAGTAGGCATATTAATATCAGGTGAAACAGACTTTAAGGCAAAAATTATTAGTAGAGATAAAACATTTTATAATGATAAAAGGTCAATCTATCAGGAAGCTTTAACAATTATAAACATATACAAACCTAACAAATCTTTAAAATACATGAACTGACATAACTGAAGGAAGAAACAGACAATTCAACAATAAAATGGGAGACTTCAACTGCCCCCTTTAAATAATGGACACAACTAGAAAGAAGTTAGACAAATAAATAGCAGACTTTAAAATACCATAAATCAACTGTACCTAAGAAACAACTAGAGAATATTCCACCAAGTGCAGAAAACATGTTTTTTAAAGTTTATATGAAACATTCTACATAATAAAGCATATAATAAGCCATAAACAAGTTTCAATGTATTCGAAAGAGTTGAGACCATACAAAGTAACTCCTCAGAACGCAACACTGAAAATAGAAATCAATGACCACAGAAAATTTGGGAAATTCTCAAATGTGAATTTTACACACAACTCTGAGTAAGCAATGAGTCAAAGGAAAAAATCACAAGATAAATTGAAAAATACTTCAAGATGAATGAGAACAAAACTATAAAACACCTAAACTTACGCAGCATAGTGAAATCACTGCTCAGAGGGAAATTTATAGTTGTATATACCTACATTTAAAAAGAAGTAAGACTCAAATAAATACATTAGTCTCCCATCCTAAAAAAAAAAGTACAGCAAACTAAGTCCAAAGTAAACAGAGGAAGGAAATAACAAATTTTAGAGTAGGGACAAATGAAATGGAGAATAGCAAAATGTAAGGGAAATAAACAGAACCAGAAGGTATTTCTTTGAAAAGATTAACTTAATTGACAAAACTTTAGCTTGACTAACCCAGTGGGGTATGGGGGGAGGAAAAAAACAAACGATACTGGAAGTACTAAAACCAAGAATGAAAGGATATTACTAACTACCTTACAGAAAGGCTTATAAGGAAATACTATATACAACATTATACCAACGCATTAAATAAACTAGATGAAATGGACAAATTCCTAGAAAGCAATAAACTATCAAAACTGTCTCAAGAAAAAAATAGAAAATCTGAATAGAACTGCAACAAGAAATTAAAGTAATAAAAATTCATCCTACAAAGAAAAGTCCTTGACCAAATGGCTTCATTGGTGAATATTACCAAACATTTAAAGAATTAACACTGATGCTTCATAACTTTTGCCAAAAAGATAGAAGAGGAGGGAACATTTGCAAATTCATTTTATGAGCCCCACATTACAATGACACCAAAACCAAATCACAAGAAAATAAAATTATACACAAAATATCCCATATGAACACGGATACAAAAATCATCACAAAATACTAGAAAGCCAAATCAGTAGCATGTAAAAAGTATTACACACCATGTCCAAGTAAGATGCATCCCAGAATTGTTCAACATATGAAAATCAATCAGTGTCATACACCATATTAAGAAAAAGAAAAAACACACACAATCATTTCAGTAGATGAAAAAAATGTAGTTCACAAAATTCAATCTCATTCGTGGTAAAAGCACACAACAAAATAGGAACAGAAAGAAACTTCCTCAACGTGATAAAGGACCTTTGTGAAAAATCCACAGTTAACATATTTTATGGTAAACAATGCAAGTTTTCCCCTAAGATCAGGAAAAAAGACCAGCACTTTGCCAAATCTATTCAATATTGTTCTGGAGATTCAAGCTGGAGTAATTAGGAAAGAAAATGAAATAAAAGAAAACCAAAAGTAAAATTAAATAAAAGGCATCAAAAAAATAAAATACTGAGGAATTAATTTAATAAAAGAAAATGCAAGACTTGT